GAGAGAGAGAGAGAGAGATAGATAGACAAATAGGGAGGCAACCATCATGGAACGCGGATGGTGTGGTGGGGGGTATTGTAAAGTATCTTGTAGATACATTCGCTTGTAAGTTGCAAGTTAACTAGACTGTTACAGTGTCGTTGGGGCAGGAGATCGCGGGGCGGTGCTTCCCCCTAGGGCACTTGCCGCCTTTTCTGCGGTTTTTTCGCTCTCTCGAAAAGGCCCTCCCAGTCAAGTCTCGTCTCGCGCTGCTTGACTGCGGTTCTGGGCCAAAACAATGCATCTGGGATCACTTGCCCCATCTCTTGGGTAATTTCTTCCTACATCTCTTCTCTGTACCTCCTGCCTTGCCTGCTTTACTGTTACTGCAGTAACTGCAATCGGAAATTAGCATTCTTATAAATATTTATTCTGGTTTTTTCCCATCTTCAGTGCTGTTGGAAAACGGAGAATATACATATCTTCTCCTCCTCTTGGCCTCTTCATCCACTTATACTCAAATTATCTATATGAGTAGTAAATATTTATGAGATACTCGTATCTCTTAAATATGTATTGCCTTCTAATTGTCGCCTCAAGTTGAACAGGTCCAGCCGCCTCTGATGTCATATTTGTTGTTTGCCATTGGTTTTGGTGAGATCATGCCGCACCCCGAAATGGAAAAAGAAGCTTACGACGAGATCCGTGAAAAGATTTTGTCATGTAACATTTGAATGGTGGAGAGGCGGTTTGAGGGGAGGCTGCAGTTCAAGGCCTTCCAGTTTATAGCTCCATTAAATCAATCAAACGTAATATGCGTATTAAAGTACAGTCTGACCCAATTAGATATCGTTATCTATTTAGAAAAATATCTCTCAATCCGTTACTCTTCTTCCTCAGTCTACCAGCAGCCACATTAGCAAGCAGTTGTTGCTTTCCCTCCCGCTCTCTCTAACAGTAAAGCAAGCAGTTCACAAGCAGTAACAAGCAGTTACAAATAGGACAGTTGTGTGTGATATTGAAGCCTCATTAAGGCGGATGTCAAGAGTGGAATAGAGTGAGGGAGAGAGAGATAGAGGGTTATAGGACAGTGGCAGATAGATAGTGTGGCCGTCGGGGCGGGGGGGAGTGATGATGGTTGTTGTTGCTGTAGCTGTGGTGAGGGTCTCTCTGCGGTTTTGTCTGTCAGAGGAGAACGCGCTCAACTGGCACGCGCTTGATAACGCTCCTCCTCCGGGTACCATGGGGAAACAAGTGGGTGGGGTGGGGGGTAAATAGAGGAACGCTCATTTGAAATGCAATTGGAACCGCACACTAGAGACAGAGGCAGAAAGACTCAGAGACAGCCACTAAAGTGACATCTAAGCCAGCGACAGTGATAGCCACTACGATGATCTGTGAACAATGGACTCGGTAGACACAAAACAAAACAATGGAAGAATATTTTGTAAGAAGAATTAGGAAGATGATACTGATATTTAATGGATGAAGAAAAGACATTGGTAAATATTATAGCCCATAAGTGTACGGGTTATTTCAGAGGAGACTCGTATTTCATATATGTATCTCAAATACAGTAGATCGATTCGCATATACATATGTAGATCTTAGATATTTGAAAATAAGAATAACGTACGCTCGGAATGAAGTAAAATATTCGAGTTTCCATTGCATTGCTATTTCTATTGGACTGAAAAGTAGGTTAACCAATTTGATCAACGGCATTTCACTCTGGAGGGGTCTGCTGCTGCTGCCATGTCCCTCAAAATGTCAACTTCACTGCAATGCTGCTGCCACTCCCTCTTCAATCATTCCCCCCAATCCTTTCATTCCCTCCTATCGTTCACTTTTTCAGCTGTCAGTTTTGGGGACGGGACGGGACGGGACTCCTTTTCAGGAGGAAAGCGAGTGGAAATGAAATGAAAAATGCATGAAAAGCACAAATTGATAATTGAATTTGGCACTGGCTCAAACTGCACTTATGTTATTGTCGTTGGTGTGTGTTGTTGTGCTTTCAGATGTTAGTTGTTGTTGTTGGGGCTATTGCACACAGCATGAGAGGTGGCAGAGCCAAGTGGGTCAATGTGAGCCGCCGCCATCGGGCGAGAAGCCGACGGTGACAAGCGACAACTTGCAATCAACAAAACCATAAAATTGAAGCCAATTAGAAGGAAAATATAAAATATTTGAAATAGAACTCAACAAAGTGCCAGTGGTAGAATAGGGGGAGGGAAGGGAACGAGGAAGCTCTAGATATTGTTATATTATTAAACAATTATTAGGAAGCAATGTATTGGTAAAGCATATAAAACAGGACACAGACAAATTTGTCAGATTTTATACTTAAACATTTATTATTAGCTGTTGGACACCTATTGAAGGCCCTAAAATATACATATTGCGATGTCTGCATGGGTGATAAAAAGCAAAGAAATGTCGGAACACGCGATGATGGGCCACAAATTACACCACTGACGGCGGGCGGCGACATTCGATTCCCAACACTCGACACTCGTAAATTCTGAGGGGTAGATGTGTGGTGTGGCGCCCAGGATATTGAAATACCACCATGACCCTAGGGGCAGAGACAATCTAAAGTATTGCATGTTCGCACCCATTTCTCTTTGCCCCATCTCCTCGTCCTCTTTTAATACGGTATTCGGTTAATTTAAAGGCAATAAAAACATCACGCATACGCCCCGCAGTGCTGGCAGAGGCAGCGGCAGAGGCAGAGGACAGGACAGCCAGAAGCAGCAGCGCCAAGATCTTTTAAGATAGGGTGAAGCATTCCCACTTTTCAAAGTCCCTTTCTCTCTCTGGGAATATGTGCGAGAATTTTGTTGCCTAGAATTGCCTCACCTTTTTAACATACATTGGCATTGGACAGCGGGAGAGGCAATAAAATAAATGCCTTGGAATTGTAATCGAACAGAGCGACCAAAAGAGAGAGAGAGAGAGAGACAGAGGGAGGGAGGGGTGAAAAAGTTCAATCATTAGTTTCTTGTTGGCACATGACACAACGCAACGAACAAAACATAACAGAAAAAAAAGAGTGTCACTGAGGGGGAATGACGTGGGCGAGCATCGTGTTGCCCCGTTAGGCTGTGAGCCGCCCACGCCAGCGCGCTCTCTCTCCCGCTCTCTCGCTCTACACACTGCTGACAGCGCAGCAGCTGCATTTGTCCCATCAAAAGATTAAAGCGCAACAAGAACAACAAATATTTCTCATTCCCGAAAATGTTGATGTCACAAGAGGAGGGACGAAATGGAAACCAGTGCAGGGGAGGAGCAGAGATCGGGCAGCGGATCAACAGTACGGCAGAGGCAGGGCAGAGGATCAGCAGCGCCAAGGCAAAAGCAGAAGAAGAAGTGGAATGGGCAGAGCAGTGGGCAGAGGACAGTGCAGTCCCTGGAATGTGTATAAATTTCAAGCGAAATGGAAAAAAGAAGAAAATATGTAAAATGAACTTTAAATGCTCTTGGAATTGGAAATCATTTAAATGATCGCATTTCTATAATTAGTTGATGGAAATGATTTTTGAGCATATTTTATGGGACATTTTTCTATTTCAGTATTTACATCTCCAATTCGCCCATCCATAACATTTCGGTCAAAAGAATTTTCCACATCACCCATTGTACCATACCATGGAACAACTTTACCTCCCGTTATCTCTCTCTATCTCTCTTTTTGATCGTAACGGTATAATGAGTTGAGGCAAATGCGCAGGCGTCTCTCGAGCAGAAAAATATTTACAAAATAGTAATGCTTACAAAACATACAAAATGGAAAACTATTTAGCAAGAAAACAGGAAAAAAGAAAACCAAAGATTAAGCAAAAGCCACAGTATTTTTATGTTGTCGCGTGGACGAAATAAGCTGCTGCTGGCGTTGCTCTTTTTTGTTTTCTTTTTTTTGTTGCGTGATATATGGAAATGTTTTATATGAGCGGGGGACGGACTGCACTTTTGGGCTGACAGAAACGAAACCGAGAAAAAAGCGCTGAGATTGTACATACATATGTATGTACATACATATGAACAAATTTTGGTTTTACTGGAAATTGAAATTAATTTGCTGCCACAAGGCGGTTGGTAGGAGGGGGTGGAGAAGCATGTGTGGGACGAGGGATGAGGCATTGCATAATTGCAAATGACGTAGAACTTATGTATGTAGTCTTTCCCTTTGCCCTCTCTCCTGGCAAAACATACAGAAGCAGGATTTTGTTCAATTAAAGCAAACATCAATTCTATTTCTTTGTATAACAGTACATACATATGTACATACATATGTACATATGTATATGTTCGTTTGTGTCTCTCTTTGTCACATATGTACATATGTATGTATGTGTTCTCGAATGTAAGTTTTTTCATTGACTCGCCGTCGACAGCAGAGCTTTGGTTGGATCTGGAGAAACTGGAGCGAGCATGCAACCGTTTCATTTTTGGGAGGGTGGTGAGGGGGGTTTCGGTTCTCTTTTGAGCATCGAGCAAGGTCATCAGCTTTTGATGGGTGTGCATGGATTCGTTTATGGGATGTGATGTGGATAGATGGGTGTCTCTGTGTGTGATTGTGTGGCGGAAGGTGACGCCCTGATTGAGGCAATGGAGCATTTCGATTAGAGGTGAGCAGCAGTTCCATTGAGGAACCAGTTCCATTTGGACATGTCTTTTATGGAGCTTTCTAGACACTCTAAGAGTTGAGTTTTTTGTTGTGAAACCATTAAACAGCTCATTCCAGTGGTAAAATTAAAGAGCTTTTGCATCTGTGATATATTTTTGTATTATTTCCGAGTTTATTTGGCTAAATGTCCATTCTTTCGCCCTTCTACCTCATCTCATCCTCTATCCTGTTAAGTTTTTGGAGAGGGTTTCTGGGATTTGCTGACTGCCGCTCAAGTGTCACGGCAGCCACTCGAATGTGAAGGATGCTTAGAAGCCCCTCAACAGACTGAGCCACTTTGAATAGCACTCGACTAATACTGTCTCTCTCTCTCTCTCTTTCTGTCTCTTTTCAGCATTTGCGTTTCGTTTGTTCCACTCTTGTGCCAGCCGTAGCCCACGCCCACATTTGTGGCGTGTGCAACCAGAAGCCGTCAAGACGACTTACTCGATAATGAAAATGAGCTCGCCCAGGATCATGCAGCAGAAACGGAGTAGCAAATCCTCCAATTCGTCGCGGGTCTCAATGACGACCTCGACGGCGGAGGAGAATCTCATCGAGTCGAAGCTCTTTAGCTGGATGCGGCTCTTCCGCTTCGCCTCGCTGCTCTGCCGCGCTGAGTAACGGGAGTTAGTCCTTCTATAAGATACCCGTACACCCCAACCCCCACCCCAACTCCATTAAAAGCCCCCGCAAATATTAAGAGAAATGCATACAAAAGATAAAGATACCGATACTCGAACTAGTTGCCGCTTTTCAGTCAAGTTTTCCTATACTTATGTATGTATGTACTACTCGTATATAGACAATTGAGACGGATTACATTACCAAATTCACTTAACCTTTTTCCAGCAATGTAGAAATGTAAGATTAAAAAAGAAGGAATATTCCCCTTTCCCACAAAATCCCCAAAAAATTACAAAAATGGATGAAAACCATGTTTAAGTTTAAGCTTCTTTTGGGAAATCGAAAAAACCCTAATTTCTGTTTACTTTTCACAATTAAGTCAATTTTTAGTGTAAATTCCATGGGAATCCCCGCGAATCCCATTGGAATTTCTCGCGCCTTTCGTACCTTTTGTATTGTAATAAGTGAAAACAAAGAAAACTATGAGAAAAACAACAATTACAACAACTTACAAAGCTAATAAATGTTACATCATAATCCATTTGTTGCGTTTCTTCGGGTTCTACAGAGCTTTCAGTTTCAAGAACAGACAACACGAATAAATCTATATTTTTGTAATTTACAACACTGTTTTTGCGTGTCACCAAACAAATCAGAGTAACGTTTATGCAAGGCTATTAAATAGATAAATATATTAACTAAAGATGCAAACCAATGCAATACTAACAATAATAACACAAATGTATTTATATAGTAGAGGAATGAATATATTTACACATTATAACCACGTGAGGCAAGCGGGTATATCCAACACTAACAGACACTAACCAACACAGAAACATAACAGAAACCAACCAAGCAATAAATAATAGGTTCCCAGCAATATGAAAAGTGCATTTAATCCAAAGAAGTTGCCAATCAACAATAATTGTTGTTAACAAATTAGCAATCCAAAAACACACGAATATCAATAGATAACAAATTTAACAGTTTCTTAAATTCCGCATAATCTCAAGCCAATGACAGCAAGAGAACATACACAAACATACGCCCACAAAAAAGTTATCCACGATTTTCGAAATTCAATTTTAACTATTAGTTAGTTATAAGCAAATGCAACCCTGCAGACATGAACAAGAGCCAAAACTATACTAGAATATAGCAATACGTACAGCAGCAGATAATTGTTGAGAAAAAAATGCAATAAATCGATATCGATAAATAAATAAAGTCTTTAAGCTGTTGAGTGTTCAATGCAATTACGTTAAAGATTGTGTTTTTATTTGTTACAAGTTTGATTTCTAGTTTGAAGCTAATTTGAATTTGACTATATCTTACAGAGTGCAAAATCTGAACCAGATCGTATAATTATTATTGCCTGAATCACGAAAACAATTTCACTCTTTCTCGCTCTGTCTCACTCTAACACACAGGTTTCATGATCGGTTTTGCCAATTGCAAAATATGAGTTCAAGGATCTCAGAACCTATAAAAGCCAGAGCAACCAAATTTGGTATCCACACTCCTGTGATATCGGACCTTGACCGTTTCCTGTCCAAATTTCGCCACACCCCCTTCCGCCCCCGCAAAGGACGAAAATCTGAGGCAACCACAAATCTCAGAGACTATTAAGGCTAGAGTAACCAAATTTGGTGCACACACTCCTTTAAGATGTCACTATAAAACGTATATCTCAGAATTTCGCCCCACCCCCATCCGCCCCCACAAAGGACGAAAATCTGTTGCATCCACAATATTGCAGATTTGAGAAAACTAAAAACGCAGAATCATAGTGAATGACCATATCTATCCGGTTGCTGAATTTGGATCAGATCGGATAATTAGTATAGCCAAAAGGAACAAATCAATTTGCAGTGGCTACGCAGTGCCCGACGACACGCTCAGACTGATTTTCTGTCTCTCTCGCACGCAGTTCCCCCTCGTTTTGATATAGCGTTAGGGTATTTTTATAGTTGTAAGTGGGCGCCATTTTTGAACACGAACTAATCAACTGTATATTAATAATCAAATAGGCTACTGAAAATCCGTCATTGTCGTTTACGCTGCTTTGATTCTCAAAAATACAGTAACTGTTCTGTTATAGAGTTAAAAGCAAAAATGGGAGTTGACGCAGCTTCCTTAAATACCAGTAATACTTCGGCAATTACTTTTTTTATCACCATGTAAGTAACCACAATGTTAAGCCAGTCTATACAACCCCCAACTCCATAGACTCGGAATCCTGTTGGTGGGAACTCTGCTGCGCTTTAGGCGACGCTTACGGTATATAACCAATAAGCTATGCTATGAGCTCTTTCTATCAAAATACCTGCACGGCGACTACATGACCTCTTGTTCCAAGCGAAAACTTACGCTTGTTAAGAAGAAAACTCTCGTCCTTGACTTGGATGAAACTCTCATGACCTCAGTATTTGTAAAGAAAGGGGTGAAAGGGGGTCGGGGTTCGCAGAAAAAGTGCAAATGGCATTATGTGCCAGTTGATTTCGAGTTTAATTTGCACGATTCTACGGTCAAAGTGTACAAGCGACCCTTTGTCGACCATTTCCTGGATCAGGTCTCGAAATGGTTCGATATAGTCGTATTCACTGCTGGAACCGAGCCATATGCCACGCCTATTATTGACTATTTGGATGGCGGACGCAACATTCTGGGACATCGGCTGTTTCGCGACAAATGCGTCACTGTCCAAGGATTCAATGCTAAGTTCGTATCGATTGTCAACGACGATAAGGCCAATGTGATTCTCCTAGATAATTCAATACCTGAGTGCTGTTTCAACATGGACAATTCCATACCTATCTTCGACTACATTATAGGTGATTGGGACACTGAGTTACTCAACTTACTGCCCTTTCTCGATGCGATTCGATTTGCCGGGGATGTTCGGTCCGTCTTGAAGCGTTGCAAGAGATTGAACACGCTTGATTTGTACTTACAAAAGCCGCACAGAAATATTAAATCTAAAAACTAACTGCTCTAAGGATAATCTGTGCATAGCCTTACTAATTCTCTGTTAAAACGGCTTAAATGGATATAAAAGCTCAAGAACTTTACCTGTTTAAATAGAGGTTAGATGGGCTAAGATCGTTTTTCGTTATATTTTATCGATAAGTCCGAGGTCACACTGATTTTGTTGCCACCTTTCAAATTTTATACTTTTCATAGTATTTTCCAGTATATTTTATTGACTGCCCGGAAATAATGAAAATTGAATCATTTTAGGGCAGTTCAGGTGAAAAATTTCGTGGCTTTTTTTAAGTTCAGAGAAAAGATGGCATAAAGCATTTACAATCGTTAATATTTTCCGCCATTTACCGCAAGTAGTTAAACTATTTAAATAGAGGGGGCTTTAGTGGGCTAAGATCGGTCTGTTACCATACCAGACGCTATATTGTTGTTGAGGCAAAGAAAATTAAAGTCAAGTATTCAAAATAAGCCAATCAAGTAGAAAATTGATTCATTATTCAGATAAAATTATGTGGTCATGGCTAAATGTTCTATCTAGCTAATAATATACGACGGAATCTTATAATCGAGGAACGATTAACCCATTGCAAGCCAGGGGGGTATTTTAATATTCCACCGACAATGGTAATACAAATTTAATAATTTTAGCGCAGTTCAGGGTAAAAAAATCGTGGCTTTCTTGTAAGTTCAGAGGAGGGATGGCATGGACCTGCGAAGACTTTAAAATCGTTAATAGTTTCCGCCATTTAGCTCAAATAGTTGAACTATTTAAATAGATGGGGCTTAAGTGGGCTAAGTTCGGGTTTTCATCATACGAGACGCTATAAATCCGATAACGATAAATCTACAACGATAGATCCGGACGTGTTTTTTTCGAGCTGCGGATTTATTTCTACCTGATTTATTTAAACATTAAGAAACATTTAAACAATTAAACGAGTGCTCGATGGACTTGGCGCCGTGCGCATAATTGTCATAGTTAACTATAATCGTTATCAGTGAATACCGTTGCAGTTGCATAACTTGTCAGTGCCAAAAAAAAGCTGAATTGCAGAAGAATTTGCACCGCTGAAAGTTCTCTTGGACCTGGTGAAATAATTAAGAAAAGTTTAAACCAATACCAATACAAATCCATTGGGATAAGCCCCGGTCGGGCCCCCCGGCCCACGCCAGCTTTTGGGCCCGCCGTCCACCTACGCGCTACGTCGCGTCGTCGTGCCTTCAAAAGTAGTTTTTTGTGCTGCCTGTTTTTGTAAATCTCAAGTGCGCGTTAATTAGTGGCTATTTAATCAATCACTGATTGAATATTAAGTGACGGAAGAGCGTGAGAGAGCGAGAGCATGGCTCAAAACAAGGCAGATACTTTCATTCATTTGATTGCCGGCGGGTAAGTGGAATCTATTTTCTTTATTTTTCGTATGTTTGTTGGGGCAACTATTGCGTCTTATCGCAGGTCAGGCTCCAACAGACGTACAACAAACCGGTTTTGCTTGGATTTCGTTTCGTACATAGTAATACGTTGAATCTCTAAAACGGCGCAGTTGCGATTAGATTTAGTTAGCCGCAAATCAGAAGCAGCCCGTTCAAGTAAATTTGACCTGGCCTCCGGCGACAGGCCGGGGGGGTTGTCAATAGTTGGCAATGGCGCCAAAAAAGAAAGGCCGAAATAAAATCGAACTGCAGCGCACCGAATCTTATGATACGCTTGCAGTTTCCATTTATATACTAAACTCGATCGATATTGATGATCAAGAATATGCATACACGCTTTATATAGTTGGAGGATCTTCCGTTTGTGCGTTGAAAACATCTGGTAAAAATAATATCATTCTTTGTAAGGGTACCGAAGAACAAACAGAAAAATAATTTAAGAGAGCCATGCTCCGTTCACGTGTTTTGGGGGACAGCTGCTCTGCTCTCTGCTCTGCAGTCCTCAGCGATTGGCGAACAACAATTTTGGATTCGAGATAAACGTCACCGCAAGAGGGGACATGAGTACTAAAAGTACTATAGAACAAGAGCGGTAAAGCAGAGTAACGACTGACGAATACCCATCATAATCGCAAGGGACTATATATAGTTTCTCGTGGTTATGGCTGTAATAATTATCCGATCAGGACTTCCACTAATTAAACGTTAACCCAATTAGCGCTCTTTTACTACTAAATTAAGAGGAGCGTGGCTTGATGCTAATCAAGAATAGATATGAAATTTGGTTAAGAACACAAATATACCCAGGATATGTATGTAAATATGTGCAACAAAAATACATACTGTACATACATTGGTCATTTATCAGCTCATGTTATGCAGGAGCTCTCCTTCCTATCCCTTGTCCCCTCTCTCTCTTTATCCTACTTTCTCTACTCGGTTCATTGCTATTGCTTGAATCACGTTACAGGCAATGTCCAATTCGAGTTCCATAACTCAGGCGGCGGGCATTAACAAGCTCAATTGCATTGTTGTTCTTGTTGCTGTTTTTGTTTCTGTTATTATTATGATTGTCGCTTTTATCGTTTCTATTTTTAGACCCGGGACCGTGCATCTGACTTTGTTTTTATTTTTACCTGCACCCTACACACACACACGCACACACACACGGGCCGCACGCTGCGAGGCATATCAGTCTCTTGAACCCGTTCGAGTGCCTGGGGGAGGGATCCGTGTCTCTCCGAAGCAGTTCGTGTTGTTGCTTCCATTGTGCTTTGTGTAGGTGATCGGAAAGTTCAGATGGCGGCTTTATTTGTGACTCTGTTCTGTTCTGGTTCCGTATTTGTTGGAAGGAGAAAGAATGAAAGAAGCAAAGAAAGAGAATGACGGAAAGAGGAGTCGAGCCTCTGGTCATTCGGGAAATGTATGTAAATGTATCAGAAACAGGAACGAAAGGTTGGTGGGTGTTTGATCGAACATACGTGATAAATATGGAATGGAACTTTTGGTATGGCCTTGACGACGGCCCTATGTGCATGTTTTGTTATCCCCAACAGTAACACCAGCGTGTCGCCCCCCAAAAAGGCCACAAAACATCAACATGACAGACAGGGGGCTCCAGAACTAAGTAATTTTGCCGGCCGGCCTGCGCTGGACTAAGCTTTTTTATCAGCAGTTAAACAACAACTCAAGAAAATCGTTTCAATGTTCACATTTTACTGTCGTAAGACTTCTTTCTTATATACTATACTAGTGTACAGGTACATATGTAAGTATTATATGCATATGTTTGCGTATGTGTAGTGCACTTAAAGCGCAGAAAAAACTGTTGAAAAGCATTCACGTTGCAGCCAGGCCAGAGCTTTCTTAATGCCCAAGTATTTGTAACCCTGTTGCTAGAACTACCACAAAACGGGGGGTGGGCTGTATGTGTGTGTGTGTCTCGTGTTTGTACACGTTGTGAAAACTAAGGCAAAAACAACCTTGCCTTGCTCCGGCGGCCCCACATTGTTATATCGCTATAAATAAAACCAAAAGCAAACGTGCAATTAACCGACATGCATCCGACCATCCATCTACATAGTCGAGCACACCCCAAAGCTGCTTTAAACTCAATGTAAACATTTTGAAAACTGTACATGAAGGAAATTACAGAACTCTTTCCAACTGAATGGTAAAGAAAACTATAAATTCTCAACGATATAGCGATTAAATACTTTTTTCATTTTGTATTTTATTGTGTTCTATTTTATTGATTTCTAATATATATGTTTGTACCAAAACTGAATTAAACCTCTATTGTCAATGGAAACGTTTAAGGTTCTTAAATTTCGATTAAATGATGTTTGAACTGCAGTATTTAGACTGTACTTTGTATAGAAAAGTCTGTCCTCATAATATGCAAATAATGATGGCATTAATTATCTGACAACAATCGGCAATTAAAGAAAATTGTTAAATTGGTCTAGACTCTAGACAATTCAGATCTAAATACATATGTATGTACGAGGTTTTGGTATGTTTTCGAAATTTTGGCAAAAACACACTGCACATTTCTATATTCTCTATTCTACCCCCAATTATCGCGTATACATTGTTATATTTTTATATACTCATAGAAACCCCCATTCTAAATTGAGCTTGGCAAGCGATTTGGATTTTTGTTTTGGTTTTTCTAGACGGTCGCCCCGGGCAAATAAACTTTTTCTGGCACACTGACTCGTCGGCGGCTGGTTGAAGGCGGCTGAAGGCGTTTAAATCGAATGCAACAAACAACATTGCTGCCAATCTCAGGTGGCGCCGTGGAGGGGTAGTACGAGATAATACAGAACAAACAATGTCACTTTTGCTCTGCCCGAAAGTTGTGAATACTCGTAATCGCATTTCATTTCTCTGATTATTTTTAGACGCGGTTTTTTGTTAAAAAAAATTAATAAATGTTTTTAGCACAGAGAAGGAAACATTGAAAGAGACCTTTCCTGTTTTGCTGAACTCAATAAATACACAAGATCGGATTACTATATTATATAGCTACGTTTAGGTCTTGCAACCCGTAGATAGCTTCTTAGTTTTTCGCATCCATCAGAGTTCCATCAGTTCTTTTTCGACACATTTTTCTATGGACTTTTTCGATTTTTCCATCAGCTGTGATTTGTTTTCGTTTTTGGTTTCCCTCCTGTTCTCTTCTTTGGCTCTAAGCGACATGTCTTCCCGCACGTACGCATTTTTGTATTTATTTTTTGGAAACCCGTAACAAATGTATCTGTCCCGCTTGCTCGTTTTCGGGGATGGGTATACTGGCATCTAAGGTCGCTTTCTGGCGCCATAAGGTGCTTCCAGCTAGAAGTGTGAATATGTAGGTACATAAATGAATGAATAAAAAAATGAGGTAAATGGAAAGTTACTCTTATTTGCTCGCATTTATCTATCGTTTATGTCCTCTCTCATTATCATTTATTTATCTTCTTTGACTCCTTATCATCTTCTATTCGTTTTATTTGAATTTTTGGCATTGCTTTGGTTTTAATAATTTATTCAGTTTGCTGGTAAAATGTTTGCAAACATTTCCTATAGGCAAAAATTGTGTCAAGGGCGTCCTGTTTTATTCTGCTCTTGATCTAGACACATATTTTCCTAATATAAATATAAACATTTTTATTGGCTGTATATATTGTACCGTTGTATGTGAACATATATGTACATAGATATATTGTCAGGGAAAGATTTTTATTTACAAATGATGTTTATGTATATATTTTTCTATAGAAGGTCGCGTGCCAAGTTTATATAGAATTTATTTAATAAAAACCAAAATTAAAATGTAATCTTAGCGATCTTTTTTTTATATAAATACTAAATGCATTTCATCTAAGGAATGTCCATTTTTCACTAGAAAATTTGAATACATACATATGTTTTGGAACTCATTGTTTTTTGTAATCCAACAACACGTGAAAGTCAGCTGTTTTGCATCGGTTCATTATGTACAGTTAGGCAAGCAGTTTAACAGAAAAGCAGTGGCGGCCTTTGAATTTTGAAACTTATTTGTTTTTCCAACATTCCCGTTTCTTGGGAATGCCCGACAGCTTTAACCCATTCCATTTACAAATGCAAATGGCAACATTCCGTTTAACCTTGATTCTTTTGACCCATAAAAGAAAGAAACAAAAACATTCAAAATTTTCCATAAATTTCGTAATCTAAAACAACAAAAACAAAAACGCCAAAAGAAAAGGAAAAAACGTTAGCAAAAAGAAGAACAAAATTTAGAATCGCACTGATAAGTCGAAACTTCAGTCTGCGAAACGCAAAATAAAATTAAAAGAAAAAAAACTCGAAATATTTCTTGATAAGATGTAGCCCCCGCCAAGACGTCTTTATCAGTGCCCAGTGCCGAGCGTTGGTTGGGGAGGGGAGGAACAGGTGGGGGACTCTTAGGCAGCTGCTGGACAAAAGCCTCCCCAACAGAGAGGGCTGACGCATCGGTAAAGGGAATTATCAGGTTCGGTTTCCCACACTTTTTACACTTGTACGTCTCGTCCATAGACCATGTCTGCTAGACCCCAAAGTTTCCACCTCTTATCTGCCACCAGAGAGCGCGTGTTTGTGGGGCGAACAACATCGGCGAACCCGACCAATGTCAAAAAACAGATAAATAGCGCATTAACATTAACCGGACCGGCTGCATTTTGCACATTTCACACATGTTCCGTCAGCGGCGGCCGGGGGGGAGGCCATCGATCGGGAGTCCCGATGTGGCTATAGATATGGCTCTACGTACACGTTCGTGTGTACTTTAAAATAAAGCTATTTGTTGCAAAAATATACAGAATTTCACATGGTTCACACATTATTTTTTAATTGATATCTTCATGATGGCATGGATAATTATATTTTGTTTCCATTAGCAAGGGAAAACGATTTTTCAATGAGGGATTAGATCAGCGGTGAGCAGAATTTTTGCATTTGAACAACAACAAACGCATAACTCGAGCCGAGCATTAATGTCATGCACACGTCATGTATGTTGTTTCTGTAGATTCTGTTTTGCAGCATTCGCTTAGGTCGGAAGTGGTCATCGCTGGCTTACATACAGGTTTTCAAGGGATTAATCAATGTCTCATTTTATTCGTTGTCAAGACGAATGCGGATAAGAATCTGCTCTCCAGCGCAGCTGTTTGTATATTTTATGTTGATTCAGATGAAATCCCCAGATAGGGAGGCTAACAAATTCCCCCTTAAATTGAAACGATTTCATTCCCCAAGTCCGTTAACCTGTTGATCCGTGACTCCCAGTTCCCCGTAACACCCGCAACCGTAACCGAAACGTCTCTCGCTCTCGTGTTTGCCCATCGTCTATCCTTGTGTCTGGCACGTTGCAGGGCAAACACGGCTTGCCTTAAATACTTTCTCGTGAAGTGGCAGCCAGATGCTAATTGTAATTCAATAGTCGGAACACTTGACCATTAATCCATTGATTAAATGTGATTATATTTGTGAAATTGTTTAATCAGGCCTGTGCTTGCCGAGTGGGTGCGAAAAGGCTGCCTATAAATGTGTCAAACATTGCCAAAAAAAGTTGGAAAAGGAAAAAGGAAGATTGCTGGAGCATATGGCGTGTTCTCTCTCTCTCTTTGGATTGGTTTCGGTTCTTACCGGTTTCGCAGTAATTATGTCACAGATTCCGCCTGGGACTGAGCATCCATATAAATATAGTATGGGGACAGACGAGGGGCCCTAGGGCCATCGCTGATAGGAGCTGATAGTCCGGATAGTCCCGCTTTGTCCGACCGAATTGCAATTCATTCGCGGGGCTGGCAAAGGTTATCTGCCCCAGAGGCGGGGGTCAATCCGTAACCAGTACGGACCGGTTCTCGACTACCCACTGGCTCCACTGCAATCCCAGCCCCAGCCCACATTCGAAGATGCCAACGTTGGTTAATTTCTGTACTTTCCAGGGATTAAAGGAGACATTCGTGCCTGTTGCAGGAAACTTTCTGCTTCATCGATCAAACTTGTTGTCGTGTTTCTCTTCTGTCCCGTTTTCCATCCCCTTCTTTTATATTTCTTTGTTGCATAACTATTTTCCGTCTCGTGTGGCGGTCATTGCCGTGGATTATTATAATTATAATCGAATTTCATGATTCTCTCGCTGTTCTGTTGCCAACCGCCAATTTACAAGTTCTGCGATCACGAGTTATGCTCCGGCGAATAAATACAAACACATTCCCTAGATAGCAAAGTGATTATGGCACTTTTATCTCCAAATTTTCCAATTTGTTGATAATGATAGAGGTAATCAGTGTGTTGGTTTGGTTTGTTTTATTTCTCCTTTTGGGAAAGGTCGTGTATAATTAATTTTGGAGGGTTGTATTTTGTTTGGCAAGGTTAACTTTAAGGTGAATGCGGGAGTTTCCCCTTAACTGCGAATCTCGAGTCGATCAAGCACACGTCTTGCATGTTGTTGGATGGAATCATCGATGGATCTCTTACGATAGCGCTGTTGCACCCTCATGGCTATGCATCAGATTTGATATCTCTTTAATATAATTTGAATGGATATTTAAGTAAAAAGTTTATCTCAATTATACACATTCTTCCAGGCGAAATTACCCTAAGCAATCTTTCCATTCAAATATTTGTGTGGGTGTGAGATTTCCTTGTGTTCTGTGAGAACCGACATCTGCATTCTGATTCGGAATGCCAGCGATTTCACAAGCCAGTAAACAATTACATGACATGACCTTGATTTGCATGTGAAATGAGAAATGAAATAGAAAATTTTCTATAATTCACTGGACTACTTAATGGATAACAGCCCCCCTCTCATTCAAAGCCCCTAGCCCCGCCATGTTACATGGAGCAGAATGCAATGAACCAATCAAAACGGCCCTCCACTTGAAATGAAAATGGAATTCGACTCGTAAATGGAAGGGGTGACAGGCGACTCATGCTTGTACAGATATTCGAGATATACTAGATATAGTGCCCCAACGAAAAACCAATTTAAGCGAAGGAATTGCGCAAATCGAAGAAATACGAGTTTTTGAGATGAGATATGAACGAGAGAAAGAGTGTATTTACTCATTTGTATATTTCAGCGTGGTCGATTGCCAAATGCTATTTATTTTTATGATATCCAAATATTTTTGGCACACACACCATGTCAAAGCACTTTATCTCTTTGTTGGGGGAGGCGACCGCAACTATTTTTAGATGGGGGAACATTTTCCAAACGGATTACTGATGTTTCTTTGGTTTCCTTGCTTCCAACAGATCCGCTGGCACCGTTGGAGCCGTGGTAACATGCCCCCTGGAGGTGGTCAAGACGCGTCTGCAAAGCTCGACGGCATTCATGACGCCATCCTCTAGGCTCGTGGAGCCAACGGGGAGTGGACCGGCCAATGGCGGTCCCTCTGAGCTGTTGAGGCCGGAACAACGACGTAAGCTAAGCACAACGATATTACGTAACAGATCACAGCCACAGGTGATTGGGGGTGTGCGTAGGGTAGTACCAACTTCTTTTTTACCTATTTCTCATACAACACATACACACACATGATCCACCACATTCCAGCCACATTGCCATATATCCCAACCGCAAACCTCTGCCACAACACAACATTTTCATCTCCATTGTCCTGGCATCCATGATTGAGCAGCTTTTAATTGCATTTTTTGCCTGTACTCCTTACAGATTATGGCCATTTCCCATTGCGGCATCTCATCGACAACCCCCAAATCCATGAGCATCATCCAGTGTCTGCGGTAAGTGTATAAGTCTGCGGTATATCATTATCTTATTTCATTCCTTATTTCCTTCCTCTTCCCAGACACATTGTCCAGAACGAGGGTCCACGTGCCCTGTTCAAAGGTCTTGGTCCGAATCTCGTAGGCGTTGCGCCCTCTCGTGCCATTTACTTTTGCACCTACTCACAGACCAAGAACTCGCTCAACAGTTTGGGGTAAGTGAAAGACTCTATTCATAAATTTACTGCTCGTATTCATTCTTGGATTTTTGCTATCTTTTATCAGTTTCGTTGAACGTGACTCCCCGCTGGTGCACATCATGAGTGCGGCCAGTGCTGGCTTTGTCTCATCCACGGCCACTAATCCCATTTGGTTTGTGAAGACCCGCATGCAACTGGACCACAACTCCAAGGTGCAAATGACAGTGCGGCAGTGCATCGAGCGTGTGTATGCTCAGGGCGGTATTGCGGCCTTCTACAAGGGCATCACGGCCAGCTACTTTGGCATCTGCGAGACCATGGTGCACTTTGTCATCTACGAGTTCATCAAATCCAAATTGGTATGAGAAAGTCGTGTGATTAGGTTTCGGCTTGTGGAATCCCCCCGATTATTCTTCCATTTTTTTTTGCTTTTAGTTGGAGCAACGCAATCAGAGGCAAACAGACACCAAGGGCTCGCGGGACTTTTTGGAGTTCATGATGGCCGGTGCCGTCTCGAAGACAATCGCCTCCTGCATTGCGTATCCGCACGAGGTGGCACGTACTCGGCTGCGCGAGGAGGGCAACAAGTACAATTCCTTCTGGCAGACACTGCATACGGTGTGGAAGGAGGAGGGCAGACCTGGACTGTATAGGTGCGTAGGAATCCCCACTGGTTGGGGGTTTCATTAGTTTAATCAGAGAACAACTCAGAATGAACTTAAAGATTGTAATAGGGAATCCCACAAGCTTGCTCCCGTTTCACTTTTATAGAATTATTGCCTTGAAGCGCATCCTCTATAAAAAGAAACACATTTATATGATAAAGCGGATGCTTTTTTAGATTGTTGGCATTTCCAACGCTATAATAAATTATCATAACACGCCACCCACGACTTCGTGGCTTCCCCAAATCTATTCCCCCTCCTCGGCGTGAAATCTATTTAAGAAATCATTCTTTTGCGTCGCATCTTGTTCTGTTTGTTTACCTTAATTTGATTATCACTCGGACCCGCACCGAGCGAGCGTGCTGACTCTGCTTTATAGTTATTATTATTTGCCAAGTATTCCAGGCCACTAATTGCTCCATCCTCTCAATATTTTGTGCACCCACAGAGGCTTGGCCACGCAGCTGGTCAGACAGATTCCAAACACGGCAATCATGATGGCCACCTATGAGGCGGTTGTCTATGTGCTGACGCGTCGCTTCAATAACAAATCGAACGAGTTTTACGATTTTTAGAGGAGAGAAAGCACCCCCCAAGCACTCACTCCCAGGAGCGATAGACGGATGGATAGTTAACAGTGAAGAAGGAGATGGAGAAGGAGAAAGAGGAGAGAAACCCAATCTGTGCATATGTAGACGCGACTGCTGCAACTTAATTGTAATTGTAATCCTTTTTCTAGACGATCGAAACCAACGAGCGCAAATTTTTTAGTTAACTAGCTTCTAAGGCAAATCCAAAACAGAAAAGAGAAAACAAAATGAAAATGAAAATGAAAACGAACTCGAGAGACTTGAAAGAGACGTTGACGTTGAACGTTGGCCAACGCAAAACACGCACCACGTACACTACACCACGATTTCCATAACACAATTTATTTGCTATTTGCTATATAATTGCTATAGAGTCAAGTACAATCTGCAGTATATGGAGGCCAAAAAAAGCAACGACTTAAGCTCGATTGGATTCGGCAAAAAAGTTATCAAAATTTAAAAAGGCTGCTATTTAGTTAAAGATACAATATATGTATGTATAGAACGTGGTTGATATTTTGATATAAATGTAAATAGATAGAGGGTAGGGTTGCGCTCAGAGTTTATTGTAAATAGATGAGGCGTTTCGTTGGCCCCCCGCCATTTAGTTTGTTTAGCTTGTAAGCACAAAGTGTTGGATAAGCAAGTCGCCATATATACATGTATATATATATATATGTGTATATTTATGTAGTAAAGATCCAACCGATACGATCTGCACTGCGCTGAATATACATACGAGTAAACATACGTAATTGTAACCATAACCGTTTTCTGTTAAGTTTCAAATGCGATATACACTTTAGTTACTATTACTATTATTATAAATTTATTATTATTATCGATACGTTGCTGTTTATTTAGTCCATTAATTAGCTAGATATAGTGTCCCTAAGCGTAATTCATTGATAACGAGCAAAGAACGAAGAAAACTACTGTGAATAAATTGATTGCAATCTGATTTGATGGTGAAATCAATAAATACAAAAATGTTTAAAAATAAGCCAAGCCAAGAGTTTATTGCGTCTAGTGCGGCATTTGTCGGTCGTTGTGGTCCCCACTTATACGTAGGCTCTTTATTAACATTGATAAGATAATGTCAATGGCGACAACTCTGCAGACCCTCGAGCATAGTTCAACCTGGAAATCGCAGACGACTGCTGGTTGGGTAATAAAAACTTTTCTGCGATAATGAATAGGATTTGCTCGAAAGACAATCTAAGCTAAATTAAATTTGTTATTAGATTTCTATTCTTGGCGCCAATCACCCCAATTGGATCGATAACGATTGTCGCTCCAGCAACAAGTGATCGTCAGCAGGGTGACCGTTTACTTTCGGTATATTTGGACATCGACAATGTGAGCGGTAAATTTAATCAAAATAAGCAAGCGATTTAAAAATGCAACATTTTAAATCTATTATATGTAGGTGAAAAGTAAAAATATAAAAGACAAAAACGGTGCAAAAATTTCAAATCGGAAAAATGAAATCTCTTCAAAATGACTAGGAAAATAACAGTGACGATGATGAATATTGTGATTAGTGAAATCGATGATCTGTTTTATAGTAATATTATTTTATATAGACAGCCTTATAAAGGATTTACCTCAAATAAAAACAAACATTTTTCATCAGTACATTTCGCGAATGAGACGGTATATTTTGACGGTATCAGTCGGTATATTCTATCGTTGATCGTCACTGATCGTCAGCCAAGTGCCAGCTCTAAATTCCAACAAATTTTCAGTGTTTACGTTTCGAGATAAAAAAAAAATTACAACATTTTTCAGTGCACTTCAAACGTTTTTTATTGATCGCAGCAACGTAAAGTAGTGGAAATCTCTCGCTGTAGGCCAGATCCGTAAAAAGTAGTGCAAACGTAGGAAACACAGTCGCAGTTGCGCCGAGGAGAAACAAATCCAACGTAGTGACACCCATTTCGCGGCCATGCAAATCGATGCGTTTAGGCTTAATATCGTCTAAGAATGCTGCTTAGTGAGACCCACTTCTGGACGACGCTGCGAGATGAAGTGCGCATCAAGAGCAACGACTTGGGCGCGTTTCGGTACATGCGGCAGAAGGAGCAGGATCCGGACTTGACGGCGTTGGCCAAGCGGGACTACACCGAGAGACGAAATGGTCTGGCCGTCCTAAAAAATAACAGTCGGAAGGCGGCTGGTCGCCTCAAGGATAATCTCAAGAAGCTGGAGGATCTACTACGTCAACACAAGGTTATCCATTCCGAGTGGCAGGATGCGGCACAGGTGCTGCTGCTCTTTGCCAATGGCATCATTGCGCACATTTGTGTCGACATCTACACGGGCGACATTCTGCGGATGGTCTTCGAGAAGTATCTAGTTGGCAAATTGGCCGCCGAGGTCATTACCGATGGTGAGTGTGTGACAGGGTATAATCTACTTCGTGGTGTCCCTGGTAGTCGTGGATAGAGTATTACTGCTTCAATATGGCAGTGGCACTTGTACCCGTTGCTGCTGTCGTTGCAGCTATGGAGAAATTTGCATTTGCAACAAGTGCGACTACGTTTGCACTTTCCCACACCAACACACAGTAAAAGTCCCAGCCTCAGCCTAAGCCACACGCATGCACCGCAGCCATCACAACCATCACATGCATGTTCATGCAATTATTGTAATTTTTAATTAATCTGCTTGCTTGTTTTGTTGGCCATAAATATGCGCCTCCCTCCACACCTTCACACTCCTCCACCCACCACACCACACACACAGCTCTTTCCATGTTTTGTTCGAGCCGCTCATTCAGCTTTGTCGTTTGTGCTTTTTTGTTTTGTCGCTGGCTTTAGCATTTTTTACACGTTCCCACATCGTCTTGGCCTACAATACGAACCAGCTGACGGTCGTGCATCTGCAGCGTCCCAATGCACGGTCGCAGGGGCCGGAGAAGATTGCCAACATGGATCCGCGCATATTTCATGTAATCATACCGGGCGCCACAGAGCGTAAGCTGTCACGCCATCTAACAGTGAATGGAAGCTTCGATCTGTTTGTGGTGTGGACGCAGTCCTCGCAGAACGAGGTGTATCCCTGGCGACCCACGGTCAGAGATCAGGATCGTGCCAACATTCATGTGTTCAAAATTAAGGGGTAGGTTATCCCTGTCTCCTGTAAGCATACTCGATTAATCACCCAATCCGATCTATCAGTTTGCAGCTGGAATCGATGGCCTACTGCTGGTCGGAAAACGATCCACTATGCGTGGACTTTCTGCGAAGCAGCGAGAGCCAGATCATCACGTTGGAACAGAAAGTATCGCGCAAGGGTGAAATCAGCGCCGAGATTTGTTCCTATGAGCTGGCCACAGGGAAGATGCAACGCACCGCGATTACCTCCATTCCTATGGGCGCTCAGATCTGCTCTTTCGCCTTCAGCCCCGACCAGGAGAAGCTCTTCTTGGGTAGCATTGATCAAAACATTTGCCTGCACGATCTCGTCCTGCAGACCACCAAGTACGTGAATCAAATCGAGATTGTGCCCCACCAGTGTGCCTGGCACTGTGACTCCGCCATGCTCTGCGTGGCCAATGAGCGATCTGTGCTGCAGTGCTTCGACCTGGCTTTGGCTACAATTGGCCATCAGTTGGTCAGCGAGAATGTGACGCCACTGAGCCTGCTGGACCTTTCGCACTACTTTGTGGCACAGCCTACGCTGCTGAACATTGCCTTTAGTCGGAAGCCAGATTTGGGGAGCTTTACGCACACCTATGCCCAGACAGATTGCTTGCTTCTGCTGATCTACGATCAGGGGCCGCTGGCCTGTATGCGCACCTTTGGTGGGGCTGGCATGCGAGGCGATATACACAACTCCGGACTCACCGCGGACGTCATAGCGGATAAGTACTTGCGACTGCAGCAGCCGGACCGAGCCGTGAATGTCCTGGCAGCTCTTAACTGGGAAACCTATGGAGCCATGTGCCTGATAACCCTTCACAAAATAGCCAACTATGTGTTTTTCGGCGGCGATCAACGGCGGCCGCGGATAGAGCTAATGGCCAGAGCTTTAAAAACCTTCGCACACACGCTGTCCGAGGAAACGAAGGACGAATTTAGTGATCAGGTGTACGATCTGAAGCGACGCTTTTGCTTCTTTCTGCTGCGGTAAGTTGCAGTTCAAGCAATGTTGTTTGTTGGCACTCATCAAAGCAATCTTTTCACAGCAAAAATCTGTTTGCCGAGGCCTTCGAAATCGCCCAGGATGTGGCGGACTATGATCTGTTTATGGATCTGTACAATCTAACCAAGTGCATTACCAGTCTGGGCGAATTCGCTCAGGTGTCGTTCAGTCAGGCCGCTGCCATAATCCATGAGGAAGACCGTGCCAATGGCAATCTCAGCTTGACCTGTGATCTGCGCTCTGAATCCGCTTGCTCCCAGTCGACCTGCTCTGAGCTGTTGCGCACGGGCCAGGGTCAGCAAAACCAGCAGCAGGCCCTAAAGAATTATGTGCCACCTCTGCCATCGTTTAAGTCGAAAGTGTTCAATGCAGAGATGATCAAGATCAACATACCTAAGCCCGAGCTAAGGCCCCCACTGCCCAAGCTAAGCATTGCAGCACATCCTCCAACTACATCTTTGGCGGGTCTATCCTTGAAGAGCGGTAGCCATCTGCAGACACCAGTGAAAAGCACCCATTCAAATGGCAATGTTTGGTCCCAGGATGTGCCAGATCAAACGGTAGGCCTACCCATGACCAGCAGCCCGCCGCCCCGTCCTCAGCCTCCTCCAGCCATCCCTGAACAGAGCTCACAACTGGGTCTATTCAATGCACCACCCCCAGCGGCGGCTTACCAGCCCAAGTTCTACCAACATCCACTTGTGTCTGGCAACATACCCGCCATGCTGCCCACGGTGTCCAGTGAAGAATATCAGAAGCGCTTGCTGCTCAAGAAACCAACAGCCTCTATACTGTCTAATCCGGCTGCCGCGCCTGTCAACGGCGAAGCGGTCACGCCCAGTGCCAAGTCTCAAACGGCTGAGAAGAACAAAGTCAAGTTCTCGGATACAATCCAAGTGGCAGTGGTCCCGGTAAGATCTGCGGCGTCTTAATGACGAGTACTATGTTTACCTTGATGTTTTCCACTTTACCAGGAGATTCCTCGCAAGGAAAAACCAATGCCGCCGAAGCGAAATGGATACTCCAGACCGGTAGCACGACATCTGACTAATCCGAAAAAGGAGCTGGCCGACAGCCTGCCACTGTGTCATCCCCATGATGATTATTTAAAGGATTTCAATCCGATCAACACAAGTAGGTAAATGCGTTGCCAAAGAAGATCTTATAACTAAAGAGAAATTGATTCGTTTTAGATGTGACCAAGCCTCCGGCGCGTCGCCGCGAGGATGATCCGAAGCAGAGCAGCAGTAAAAATGCCAACTCTTCCTCATCGTCCTCCATCAAGGTGGTCCACTTTGGTGTGGTCTAATTGAATAATTCATAGTGCAATTGCTAAGTTTATACCTTTTTGGCTTAGAGCTTCCGTCTTCCATTCATTTGTAACTACTGCCGTCCAACTTAGTGCAAAGCTTTAAATAGGAAAGTTTTTTATGCATAGGTTCTCTCTATACTCTATACACACACAGGTTATTCATTAAATCTTAGCATTAAATGTTTGCCAAATTGCGAAGTTACTTTTTCTTGGTGCTCGCACCACCCATGCGCTCCAGTTCTGCTTTGAGGTCGAGCAGATCCCTGTCGGGCACATAGCGACGTTCCTCGCAGTCATCTGTGTGCTCCTGCACTGTCAGGTTCACACCTTCTGGTAAGGCAGCCTGGGCTATCCGCAGGAACTGAGGATAGACGGGGGCATCGACATTGCTCAGCTGCAGGCTGCGTTCGTAGGTAGTCAACTTGTATTCGGCCTCAATGACTGTGGAATTGGGACGCAGCCGCTGAACTTGGGTTTGCTGTGGCGGCAGGGCATAGCAGTCCGACACATCGAGATCAAGATATTCGGCCACTCCGTGGAGGAAGCGTTGGTAACTCTCAAGCTGGGGATAATCATAGCCTTTGATTTGAACATTAAGGCTTTCGTACTGCGGGAATTTCGGCTTAAGTGACTGAAATCCACAAACAAATCGGTTACGTTTCGAAGAAAAGAGAAATGTTGCATCCAACCTCTAGGTAGTCCGGTTCATATACGCTGCCGCTGCTGCTTCTAACCGTCGTCGACGTTGGCTTAGCTAATTGCAGACCCACCCGCACACTTGGCAGTACCTAAAATATAAAAAGAGAGGCATTAACATATACCATTTAATACATTTAAACGTCTATTTACTCTTCTCAGCATTTTATAGCGATTTTTTGAGTCCGAGGTTATGTCACAACAGCTGTTTGAAATGTGGGTATATCGCTTATCGCACAAAAATACCGATACTATGTGAACAATTTCTGCTGTTCCGCATATCGCACATAAAAAGAACCATTATACTTATATTAAACATTAGAATAGAGCTGGGTGGAGACGGACTCAACCATGGATAACTCCACTAAACAAGGATAAATTTCGCGGGAGCAGTCTCACCTCACCTCCACATGGACAGAAGTCCTGTTCTTCCAAGTTTGAAAATTTAAAAAAAATCTATGTAGTGATGGGACAACTCCAACTCTTCTTCTTTGGAGAGAAGCAAAACCATCGATACTATCGATAGTGCCCTCGATGGCCCTTGACACCTCTAATCCCTAGGAGGAATAACATTCTTATTTATTTAGATTTTCTGCAAACATAAAAGTTAAAAATTGTCACGTAGCACAGAAACACGGTATCAAAATGCAGAATACGTGGACGCTTTTCGTAGTTGCGTTGGGGCTTATTTCAATCGTCTCGCGAACAGCCGCAAAATCCGACCCCGGTATTGTCGATATCCAAGTCAACGCAGTAAGAATCCTTCTGAGAATCCAAGAAAATATTCCAATCCGAACTACATGATCTGTTTAATAAATTTTTCCAGGATATTCCATATATTAGGGAGCAGCGGCCACTTCTGGCGAACACCATGATCTACGCGCAAAGTTAGTATTATTGCAACGTGTGTATATGAACGTGTGACGAATACTTTTCCCTAACCTACACCTCCCTTGTTTTTTTCTTCCTCTAGTTGCGGGATGCACATCCAAGGCGGAGACAAATCTGACAATAACCTTTAAGCTGACGGAGCATCCTTGCATCTTTGATGACCGGATGGTAAACATTTCCCATTTGACATGCCTGTTGCCCAGAAACGTTGACTTATAGTTGTACTTTTCTAGCTGCAACTAATCGCGGAGAACCCCACACAGCAGCAGAACTCGAGCATAAACAATGTTATCGTACAGGTAACAAAGACCTATGCCTGCAACGGCCTGATTGTGCTGGTTGGAGACAAGCCGACGGAAGGAGTTCCGTCCACGCCGGAGCCGAAGCACCCTATGAAGGAAAACAAACATCCTCTATCGGTAATTTTTCCATGACTCAGCTGAAGTGCTAGACAGCAACTACTTGGCCATCTGGATATCACAAAAAAATATGTTTGCTTACATTTTTTGCGCTATCAGTCCAGAGTCGGCTTATCGTGTTCCTTTCTTTGGTTCGCTGTTTGGGTGTGTGTTCGCACATGCTGATTAAATGCTAGGCACTCAGTTGGGGAAATGTATCTAATTTCCTGCATTTTCAGCCCACAACCAACTCGATTGTCAGCGTTAAGGAGGATGGCATATACGAGATCGAAGTGAACATAGCCCCGGGACAAGCGAATCAGCAGTTCAATGCTATAGTTCACATTGAGTTTCTTGGACCGCACGGTTATATCTCAGCCATAGACTGGCCATTCGTACCAGTAAGATATTATCACTTCATTTGTTTTGTTTAGCTTATACATAATTTGACTTGTTTGTTAGTTCTATCTGATCATGTGCATTGTTTACGTGATCTTTGGCATCATTTGGCTGTTTGTTTCGTTTTCGCAATGGCGAGATCTATTGAGAATTCAGTTTTGGATTGGTGGCGTCATACTGCTGGGAATGCTGGAGAAGGCCTTCTTTTATGCCGAGTACCAGACCCTCAACAATACGGGATTGGCTGTGGAACACGCGGAGCTGGTTGCTGAATTTGTATCTTGTGCGAAGCGTACACTGGCTCGAATGCTGGTGATCATTATGAGCCTGGGCTTTGGAATTGTCAAGTGAGTAGATTCTAACTAAATCTTGAACTACAAAGTACAAAGAAGTAAAATGTGATTATTTTAGACCTCGCTTGGGTCCCATGCTGCATCGGGTTGTGGGCGCGGGTATTCTCTACTTTGTGCTGGCCTGTGTGGAGAGCTATTTGCGTATCACCAACGTGAAGAGTGATCGTAGCGAGTTGCTGGTGGCCAGCATTCCTCTTGCGGTTCTCGATACAGCTATCTGTTGGTGGATATTCACCTCCCTAGTGCAGACAACCAGGACGCTCAGGCTAAGAAGGTAAACGCTAGAATTCTTTGGCTATTAGAATGTTTACTGAGCTATTTATATTTTAGAAACATGGTGAAGCTATCGCTCTATAGGCATTTCACCAACACGTTGATCTTTGCCGTTATCGCTTCCGTCATCTTCATGCTGTTTGCGTTGCGTTTGCGTAGAACTGAGAACTGTACGCCTGTGAGTTGTTGGTTAGCATGAGAGTGCCATGGGCAAAATTTTAACACATATATTCATGCTTCACTTAGGGTTGGCGTGATATCTGGATCGATACGGGCTTCTGGCACATGCTGTTCTCAGTGCTGTTGCTGGTTATTATGATACTATGGCGACCGACAAATAACAATCAACGCTATGCATTCACACCGCTGCTGGACAGTCCCGAGGACGAGGATGAAGAGGGTAAGTCATTCTAAACTTGAAATACCCCGTAAAGCTAATTCGCTTGATTCTTACCTTTCAGATGAGGAGGATCAGTTTGTAGCTGATACTTATGGCGTTAAAATGCGCGGTCAGAATGGCACGCCGAAGACATCGACAAATTCGCGCACAGCAACAACCACTGAAGAGGACGATTTGCGTTGGGTGGAGGAGAATATACCCTCATCGATGGCTGATTCCGCTCTGCCCGTGCTAGACTCGGATGAGGAAATCATCAATACTAAGTTCGAAGTTTCCAAAATGCAATAAGCCGAGACTTTCGCTGGAACTAAGAGACTCTTAGCATATTTTTGTTGCACAATCTACATCCGAAATATGTATTGTATTTTTATTTCAATTTGAGAACGAGAGAACAAGGCAAGCTGAAGAAGGGAGAAATAATGATAATTGCTGGACAAAATTTTTAAAGCTCCACTGCTGCTGATCTGATCTTCCCCACTTACGGTAAAACCCTCAAGTGTATTGAAATTGGCTGTGTCCGACGACGACTACACTATGAATTGTGTTTGCTTTTTCAGCCAAGCTTTCTGGGCCGGTGTAAAATATTGTATGTAATCGTAGTTACTCTACTCACACGTTCTCCCTCTAAATAAATCTAGCTTATTCGTAATACCTAGCCTAAGTTGTAGATATCTATGCGACAGACACTTAATTTATGAACCTTGAAAACCATTTCGAACGATACTTTTGATTACTTGAATACAATTGCTAACGTGTAAGTACATATATACATATATGTGTATATATATATTAATGTCCCTCGCCTCTTTGTAAATAGCTGGTAACACAAAAAAATAAACGATATATATATAAATGTATTCTGTAATGGTACTTATGATAAAAACCCAACTACGTCATCGGGTAAACACTTTTACTGAAACTAAAATACATTTGCAGATATTTGTATAAGCACAGACACACACACACACCTAATCGTATTTAAATACAATTTTTATTGGTAGAACAGTTTACGATTTTTCATAAATAAATTCAATCGTATTGTATGCAATGAAGGTAGCCATATACCAAAAATCGGAATGTTTGTATCACTTTGCCCTTATCAGAATGCAGCGCATATCTGGGCTATCTCGTGGTAAGTCCCACCCCCCGACAGAATGACTGATCCAGCAGTGATAAGGCGACAAATATGTTTCAATATTTATTTGTTTTCTTTCTGTATAAAATTTCTCCTTTGCCTTTGAAATGTTTCTTTAAAAAATATTAAGTAAAGAAAGGGTAAGGTATAATGTGCATTTTCTCAGTTAATACAAATACATAGCGAGTTTAGTAAATATATTTATGCTTCGAGCTCCTTATTGTTAAAATACACACACACACAGAAACACACAGTCAAAAAGTCACAAAACAATTTATAAAACACATGATTTATTCGCGGAAGCGTTAAGAACAGGCTGCTGGCAAATGAAATGTATTGTTGGGAGCCATTTGCCGCGACTTCGATACAAATATGCATTATACAAATAAGATACAAATACTTATAGATACTGTCTTGAGGGCGGCGAAGTTGGCGTTTTGGCTGAAGTGTGAAGCGCAACAACCATGTTATACTGTATGGATGGGAGCCTAGGTGTGGGTGTGGGTGTGGGTGTGGGAGACAGTGTGAAACGGGCGGGCAATTTACATTAATATGTATCTGGTTTAACAATTTCTCTCATTTAACAAATTTACTGCCTAGAAATGCGTATTTAATATTTTAGTTTGTTTGTCTGCTTCTGCTGCCCAAAGTATACGCAGCCAAAATAGTGATCTGTTCTGGAAAGGGTGTAAGTATTAGGGAATTTAACGACTCTAATCTACGAAATATTACCCAAATGTGTATTATGGTTTGTATAGCATTCGGGTAATATTTCGTGTACAGCAATTGGGCTAATTCACATATTTTTACATCCAATCATAAATCAGTATTCAAAGGTAACGTATAGATCGGGCTATGGTAGGTGTATATTGAAATTGAATTATGAGGAGGCCACATTGAACGGTTGGGCCACGCCTAATGCTGGTGTTGATACCGCCTTCAGCCGCTCAGTTCTCAGTTCGATTCGGGCTTGACGTTGCGCCTCAGTATTGCCGCGGCCAGGTCCTGCTTCATGGCCGCCTGCTGGCGTTGATCGGCCAGCGATTGTGTGCTGCGCAACCCATTCACAATGTCCTTGGTCTTGCCAAAGTATATCTCGTTGAGTGTGTTTCGTATTTTGTTTTCCATCTCCTCCACCATCTTGCCAATGTTGGCAATGTGCGGCGACGAGTCAGTGACGTTGGCGTCCTGCTCCGTCTGACGTGTCAGTGAGCCGCCCAAGTTCATGGTACCCGATCCCTGCTTGTTGGTCTGCAGCCACAGCATGGCCGTGGAGGTGAGCTTGTAGTGGGCAGTCCTTCCTGTGGTCTTCTCTTGAACCTCCACCACATGTATGGAGTCCCAGCAGCCACGAATCATTTTGCTACCATCACCAGCCTTCTTGATGAGTATCACAGCGGCAAACCCATGATCCAAGTCCCAGAGATATACGGAGGATACACCACCCTCGTAGTACATCTCTCGATATTGATCAAAGGCGTAGTTGGCCTCAATTTCTAGTTTACGTAGGCGCTCCGAGGGCATTTGGCCATCCTCCAGTGGGGGGTAGTAGGAATTCGACCAGGGCGATCGGTAGGAGTCACCATCTCGATTGTAGTCGCACAGCAGATAGTCCTTTCCATGCTCCTTATCTTTGGCTATTTTGAGCGGCTGATCCACGGACGAGAGCAGATCCTCACACAAATCTGGAGCCAAGTCGATCAGGTCAATAAGGTTCTTCTCAATCTGCTGCGGCGGCAGTCGGCGCATCAAATCCAAAGCGCAGTCCATTTGCATTTCCGACTAAAGAAAACAAAAGAAACGCGAAAAAGAGAAACTTAATTAGTCGAGTCGATAAAATTGAGTCATTGTCGAATGCTGATAACCTCCGCAAACGTAATCCCCTGTGGGGATGAGTGCGACGCGACCGGTAAACGTAGGAGCCAGCCACGACTACCATATATGGGCATTCTTTTAGGTCATAGGCTGCCGCCCCTATACCACCGCTGCACTCGCATCGTTTCGACTGAGAGCTACCATCATCGGTGATATATATATATCGTACGCGAAAGTCTTGATTATGGGGCGGAGGCACAATAACTGATCTTTTGTTGGCCTTTTTTGTTGTGTTGTTCATATCTCGACTATTACTCACCATTTTGAGGATTTTTCTGTTTTCCTTTTCGTCTATGTTATTGCTCTGTTATATTTACCCGCGCCTTGGTAAAGCAAATATTGAGTGCTTTCCTGTCTTAATTCTAACTATTATTTCGTTTTTTTATTGCAATTTTATCACTAAAATTTACTTTTTTAGCTCATAGCAGTGTGACCAGTGGGATTCACCGATAGAATGTATTCAGAAATCTTCTAAAATATACCGTCTCATTTTAAAAATATACCGTAAATATACTGACGAATTACAAGTTGTATTATACATATTCCTCCTTTTTGATCTTCCGTCGAGTATTACTAGCTAGATAGATCCACAAGCCCTGCCCACATAATCTCCTTTTAAGTACGTTTGTTTTTATTGTCTTGTGTCGAAAAAAAGGTTTAAACAAAAAAGGTCAACAAAAAACAGTGGCAAGTCAACCGGAGTATGGGCATATTTATTCCCTGTTTCATTAGTTAATTAGGAGGATGCTGTTTTTAAGCTCTTTTATATAATTAATAAAGACCGTTTCTCAGGTTGATATGATACCTATTCTAAGTCTCTGAAAGAAGACAATAAGTTGCAATAATTGAAATAGCTTCAATACAGACTGACTAGTTTCTACATATATTGGAACTTGAGATGAAAAACATTTTCTGAATTCTATAATATCCATTTCCAGGGTATAAAGATCCGCGCCATGTTGAGGGACAATGCCGCTCGATTTCTCGGCACATGAGTCTTGCCAATGTTGCCAGCAACGTAAAAAACGTAAGTGAGTATGAAATGTATGGACATTGTTGAGCTGAAAAAGGACATTGTGGCGAGGAAAAATCCCATAGGGAAAATCCCAAAAAGTCCCACCAAACTTGAGCACCAAAAAGAAATTGTTTGAAAGTGAGCGAGCGAAAAGGATTTAAATGCAATCCATTAGAATAAATGATGCACGGAAGTACGATTTGAGAGAGCAAAAGTTCAAAAAACCTGCCCATGCTGCCGGATCGATACTGCATCCAGGATCGCGTGCATCGCGCCAGCAGTTTGTTGTTTGTACCCCTATTGATCTTTTCCATTGAATATTTTTTCTTGGTTCTTCCTTTATAGCTACAAACTGCTATGCCGCGATCCCCTACTCTTACCCCGCCAGGTAAAGTTATGAAACTATTATTTATTCATTTACTTTATTTATCTCTTCGCTTTATTTTAGCAGTTCCGTCCCTCCGGTGGCCAGGAATACCTTTTGCCGACCATCGTTTACCAGAGACTTCAAACTTCTGCTATTCCGGTTCATTTGAGCGAGTGTGCGCTAGATGACGGCTGTCCACTCCAGGCGCCCGACCGGCTGACATCGCGAACTTCCCGCCGGATTCTGCACGCGGGGCCACGATGCCATGATGCCACGATGCTCCTCTCGGGACATGATTCTGCGCGCAAGGCTGTGGTCTTTGGCCTGTGTGACCTTTGAGTCCAGCCATTGCCATGGTCCTCTTCCTTGCGTCCCACGGTACCTACTCCGCGGGTGATTCCTCCGAAGCTCCTCGTCCGTTCTGGAGTTCCAAGGGATATGTTCCTGGCTGGATTGTGGCAACCACTGGCTGTCTTGCTGCTGGCCATAGACATTATGTCGCTGCTATATCGCTATGGGCTTCAGCTTCGAGACGCGTAAGTAAATCAGTATATAATTGTATATACATATATATTAAAATATATCTTCCTTCATAGAGGACTTATTTCCCCACGCAAGACCGAATCCCAGTCAGACAGAATCGTAATCCAGCAGGACAGCCGCCGCATCTTTTGACTTGGCCATCGACAACTATCTCAAGGACTTTGGCCATGGCAACCAAGGAGCAGCTGCGCTGTCTACTAGACTCTAGATAGATCTCGTTGTTGTTAGGTTTAAGGATACATACATATGTACCTCTATACATTTAGATAGTAGATATATGTAAATGTAATCCACTTGTTTATTTATTTATACTAAGTTAAGTTATGATGAATAAAACTATTGAATAATCATCCTTGCTGTATCCTGTATCGGGGAAACTATCCCAACTACAAAAAGGGGTGGCCTGCCCATATCGGTTCACAAATAACGGAGAAAGCTAAGTATTTTTGATTGGGCAAAATGTCCTTGATCCTTGATAAGGACTCCATAAAATCAGGGACGATTTTCCGATCACAGGAAGCCGTCGCACGTCTCGATCGGGCCACAAAAAGCCGAGAAAACTTAATATACGTGTTTGGAGTCCTTACGGAAGGATCAAGGACATTTTTCTGATCACGGGGGGCCGTCGCACGTCCCGATCGGGCCACAAATAACGGAGAAAGCAAGTATATTTGTCTGGAGAAAATATCCTTGATCGTTGGTCCTTGAAAAGGACTTCATAAGATCAGGGACATTTTTCCCAGCACGGGAAGCCGTCGCATGTCCTGATCGGGCCTCAAATAACGGAGAAAACAAAACTGGCTTGTAACTGGCCTTAAAAATGTAGTTCAAGAAATCCCCAATGCGGGCGCCACCGTACAAAGAAAAAACTCGCGTGAAATGGCCAAAATCTGGATGGAGTACCAGGCAAACAGAAATCAGCAGAAGGTCGATGAATTTTTTTTAAAAATGTTGAGCCCCCTAAAGTATGCTGCGATTTTTTTTGCAATTGCTGCAGTTGCTTGCTACCGATTATGTTCGCCTGGTATCCCATCCAGATTCTGGCGAGTTAAGCCAGCTACAAGCCAGTTTTGTTTTCTCCGTTATTTGAGGCCCGATCGGGACATGCGACGGCTTCCCGTGCTGGGAAAAATGTCCCTGATTTTATGAAGTCCTTTTCAAGGACCAACGATCAAGGATATTTTCTCCAGACAAATATACTTGCTTTCTCCGTTATTTGTGGCCCCCCGTGATCAGAAAAATGTCCTTGATCCTTCCGTAAGGACTCCAACAACGTATATTAAGTTTTCTCGGCTTTTTGTGGCCCGATCGGGACGTGCGACGGCTTCCTGTGATCGGAAAATCGTCCCTGATTTTATGGAGTCCTTATCAAGGATCAAGGACATTTTTCCCAATCAAAAATACTTAGCTTTCTCCGTTATTTGTGAACCGATATGGGCAGGCCACCCCTTTTTGTAGTTGGGATAGTTTCCCCGATACAGGATACAGCAAGGATGATTATTCAATAGTTTTATTCATCATAACTTAACTTAGTATAAATAAATAAACAAGTGGATTACATTTACATATATCTACTATCTAAATGTATAGAGGTACATATGTATGTATCCTTAAACCTAACAACAACGAGATCTATCTAGAGTCTAGTAGACAGCGCAGCTGCTCCTTGGTTGCCATGGCCAAAGTCCTTGAGATAGTTGTCGATGGCCAAGTCAAAAGATGCGGCGGCTGTCCTGCTGGATTACGATTCTGTCTGACTGGGATTCGGTCTTGCGTGGGGAAATAAGTCCTCTATGAAGGAAGATATATTTTAATATATATGTATATACAATTATATACTGATTTACTTACGCGTCTCGAAGCTGAAGCCCATAGCGATATAGCAGCGACATAATGTCTATGGCCAGCAGCAAGACAGCCAGTGGTTGCCACAATCCAGCCAGGAACATATCCCTTGGAACTCCAGAACGGACGAGGAGCTTCGGAGGAATCACCCGCGGAGTAGGTACCGTGGGACGCAAGGAAGAGGACCATGGCAATGGCTGGACTCAAAGGTCACACAGGCCAAAGACCACAGCCTTGCGCGCAGAATCATGTCCCGAGAGGAGCATCGTGGCATCATGGCATCGTGGCCCCGCGTGCAGAATCCGGCGGGAAGTTCGCGATGTCAGCCGGTCGGGCGCCTGGAGTGGACAGCCGTCATCTAGCGCACACTCGCTCAAATGAACCGGAATAGCAGAAGTTTGAAGTCTCTGGTAAACGATGGTCGGCAAAAGGTATTCCTGGCCACCGGAGGGACGGAACTGCTAAAATAAAGCGAAGAGATAAATAAAGTAAATGAATAAATAATAGTTTCATAACTTTACCTGGCGGGGTAAGAGTAGGGGATCGCGGCATAGCAGTTTGTAGCTATAAAGGAAGAACCAAGAAAAAATATTCAATGGAAAAGATCAATAGGGGTACCAAACAACAAACTGCTGGCGCGATGCACGCGATCGTGGATGCAGTAACGATTCGGCAGCACCTCAAATTACCAGAGCGGCGAAAGATACGGAAAAGTGATGATTTAAGCCTCGGGCCGCTTATCCGTGGTAGGATTCAGAAGGATTCAACTATTCGTAATCTCTATGGGGAGCTGTGACATCGGTTTTGAAAATTAGATTTAAACAAAGTAGGTCGCGATAAATGTCCCTTTTTTAACATGGTAACGACACGGTAACTACATATTTGTTAACTGTGAACTGCATATTTATGAATAGGGTATACCCTATACCCGATTTATTTAAAAACTGTCACTTTGCGAGGGCTTTTGGTTGGTTCATTCACTTTCAAACAATTTCTATTTGGCGCGCACCTCAAAATCGAAGAATATGTAAAGTATCCCTTTAATTCGTCAGTATATTTTTAAAATTAAACGGTATATTTCGGTATATTTCTGAGGGTCAGACGGTATTTTAACGATAAATCCGCCACACGTGGATGAACAAATGGAAATTGACGAAGAAAAGCATCAGGTTGTTGAGGGAAAACATGTCCCATTGCAAGATGCCGTTCCGAAGAATCCCAATGAGCACGTTATCCGCGAGCGCCATGCCGAGATCGTGTCTGGCGGCAATGTCTTTTACAATCCGGTGCAGGAATTCAATCGAGACCTGAGCATCGCCGTTCTGAACGTCTACCAGCAGCGTCTGTCCAAGGAGCGATGCGAGAAGGCGCTTAAAAAGCAACGCAATCCGGTGCACGGCGAGGAGGAGGCTACTTCGCCGATTCCTACGCCCGTAACGTACGTGGCAGGCACACAGTACGCCGATGGATTGCGGATTCTGGAGGCTTTGGCTGCGACGGGACTGCGCAGTATACGATATGCCCAGGAGATAGCCGGCGTCCGTCAGATAGTGGCCAACGATCTGTCGCGTCAGGCCGTCCAGTCCATCAACGCCAATGTTCAGCACAACAAAGTGGAGTCGCTGATCGAGGCCAGCCATGCGGATGCCATGTAAGAACCAAGGGAATCAGAGTCTGCCAACCTTCTGTAATAATCGTAATTCCATTGCAGGACGCTGATGTATCTGTCCACCGCTCAGGAGAAACGCTTCGATGCCGTTGATCTCGATCCCTACGGCTGTCCGAATCGCTTTCTAGACGGCGCCATGCAGTGCCTGGTAGATGGTGGCCTGCTCCTGGTCACGGCCACCGACATGGCTGTGTTAGCCGGCAACGCACCGGAGGCCTGCTACGTGAAGTACGGATCGGTGCCACTCCGGATGAAGTGCTGCCACGAGATGGCCCTGCGTATCCTGCTGCACTGCATAGAGAGTCATGCGAACAGGCATGGCAAGTACATTGAGCCACTGCTGAGCGTCTCGGCGGACTTCTACGTGCGTATCTTCGTGCGTGTGCATGTGGGCCAGGCGCAGTGCAAGCTGTCCATGAGCAAACAGTCCTGGCTGTATCAGTGCACAGGCTGCGATACGTACACGCTCCAGCCCCTGGGCATCACCAAACCAAATCCCACGGTCGGCAATCCCCAGCAGCTTAAGTATGGCATCCCAACGGGTCCGGCGGTGAACTCCCAATGCGAGCACTGCGGCCACAGGCACCACCTGGGCGGCCCAATCTGGTCCGCACCCCTACACAACCCGGACTTTGTTAAGGACTTGCTCGATGCAGTGCGGGAGACACCCCTAAGTGCGCTCGGCACACAACGACGCATCGTGGGCGTCCTATCCGTGGTTCAGGAAGAACTGTCCGATGTCCCACTATACTACACACCCGACAAGCTGTGCTCCGTGTTAAAGCTGGAGATTGTGCCCATGCTGAAGTTCAGATCCGCCCTTTTGCATGCCGGCTATCGTGTGTCCTACTCACATGCTTCGAAGAACTCGCTGAAAACAGATGCCCCACCATCCGTTCTGTGGGACATTCTACGCTGCTGGAGCAAGCGACATCCAGTGCGTCCGGAAAGGATGATTCCAGGTACTCCCTTGCAGGCCATACTGTCGCAGCCCTGCTCCAGGGATTACGAGTTCGACGAGCTGCATGCCGCGGCCAATCCAAAGAGTCGCCGCTCGGCGCTCTCACGCTTCCAAACCAACCCCGCGCCACACTGGGGCCCGGGCACAAGGGCTACCATCATGTAAGCCCATCACTCTAAAGCTCTTCGAATATATTGTAGACTTATTCTCTGCTTTTTCAGGATTGGAGAAAATAAACTGCCAAAAAGCTATCGCAACCAGAACAAGAAGCAGCGCCATAAAACGTCACAGGAGGTAGTGGGGCCACAAGAGGGGGAACAGGTGGAAGCAGATGAGGAGGTGGCAGAGGCACATCTCCCCAAGCAGCCCAAGCTGGACGAAGCGACTGCGTGACGTTGCTTTATGGGGCTGCTTCCTTGTCAAAATTTAATTTTCAATAAAGTTATACAACACAATTCTTGCCTCCCCCTTTTGATTGAAGGAGGAGGAGCTAATAACGGAAGAAGTTGCCATCGGAGGTCTGGCGTGAGAAGCCATTGTTGACCAATTGATTGTGAACGCCGCTGCAGATGAGCTTGACGCTATGCGGATGAATCTTCTCCTTGCAGCCGCCTGTAAAGGAAGACACGAATTATTTAGTTTATGAGAATATAGCGCGGACACTTACCAATGCGAAGCGGATGACCCAAAGCGTCGTCTTGTTTCCGGCGAATAAAGCGCGTATTGCGCAAAACCCTAAATGTCTGATACTTGGCACCGACCTCCTTTGCCCCGCCAGGCGCTGACCAACTACAGATCGCCGTGCACGTCTCGCGCTGCAGCACCGAGTCCACCTTCTCCGGGAAGCACTCCCGGCTATGATCGTAGCGTGATTGCAGCTGAAAGTCCAGCGAATCCTTGGGTATGTTCGGGTTACCACGATAACGCTTGCTGTAGCGCACCGAGTTCATTGTCTGGTGGTAGAACAGACGCTCATGGGGCTCCAGATGTCCATGCCAGGTGCCCGTGTCGCCAAAGGGCGGCGGCGGTGGGGGTTTTGGAAACTGGCAGATATAGGTGCCCTCCGAGCGCAGATCCGGCTCGTACGAGTCATTGCGCAGCTGCACCTTCGTGTACTTTATCATGATGCTAGAATAATTATTTTTCTTTTTATCAACTGAATTTTGAACTGATATATATAGTATGTAACAAGGAACAAAGCAGAGCAGCTTGTAGACTGAATCTCTGATGTGCCTCTCGGTTGCCCTGCCAAATGTTAGGTCAATAAAACACCCGCCTGCCCTGCTCGAGGCCGTTGGAAACGGGTCGTGACACGCGGTGGGGCCAGGCGGTGAGAAATGCCTACTTCGTCGCATTGCGATGAATATTTATTACATGAAAATTTACAGTCTCGCAGCGTCTTTCTTCCGTTTGCTTTTGATTGTGGGTTGCAGTATGTTCCCGGTGCGCCAGACCAGACGACGTGCCCACTGATCACAATGTTGGTCCACTTGGTCTGCAGCCAGGTGACTATGGGATCGGAGGAGCAGATGGAGTAGATGGTTTGATTGGTTTTTGAGTCGGAGGAGTAGCAACAGTAGAACCATATGTGGTCGCAAGGGAAGCCTTAAAGTGCTTCCGTCTGCAATCCGCGAGAAACTCGTCGGAAGTTAGACCCAACTCCGTAAGTGATGCCAGCGAGGACATGCAAGGTATATCGTCGCCGTCAACAGCTGAAACTGCAACTGTTCATGATGCCACCTCAGCGGACGCAAAAATCAGATGCTCTAGATGAACGCTTCTTCCTGGATGAGCAGTCACTTGGACTCCTCGCACCTTATCTGATAACAATGAAAATTAAAAAAAAAAAAAGAACAGCTACATCACAAAACCTGAACCGTTAGTTAAAATGATGATTGAACTAATAATTTTAAATGGATTAAAAGACGAAAGTCAGGTTAATTTATTGGAACGAATGCTTGTAATTAATGTGCAAATATAGTCATTCCCGCCCACTGCAATACTTGTAGTTTTGATTAATCTTCAGCCTCAATTCAATTCAAAATCGTTTAAAACAAGTTTACTCTCTTTCCAAAAGAAAAAAACAGTAGGGATAGATGAATTCGTTTTTATTCATTATTTTTTTAAGCTGCAACATAAGTTTAAATATTAGTTTTCGTTATGTTAGGCACTTACCGCGCTGATCTACAAGATCCGAGAAGTCCAGGCCACAGAAGGTGGTTTAGGGATTCCTGTATTTGCAGAGTCCATTGCGATTCCGTGGTAGTTTTGCTGGAAATGTTTTCGCCTAAACTTAAAATGGACGCCCACCAAACGCCAAGCGGCAACACCAGACAGGAAAACACCAACAACGCCAACCAGCAACCAGCAACAAACGACGGGACGAGAGAAGTGAAGTAACAGGAAACCGGAACCGGGAAACGGCAAACAGCCAAAGAAATAGTCTATATATCCCTTTTTCTCCCACTCTGCTCTGGATCTCGAGTGCAGCAGCAGCAGCAGCAACAGCAACAGCGGTAGCAGCAGCGGAGGCGGGGCGGCGACAGCGGCTGACAGGAAACGCCAACGGCAACGGCAGCAGCAACAGCAACAGCTACGCGATGTCCGCTCTCGTGTCGTGTTGTCTCTGCTAGCGCTGGACGGGGGAAGAAGAAGATGCTCTGATGCCTCTCTGCTGATCTGATCTCTCCTCTCCTCCCTCGCAATAACCATAACATTATCTTTCAACCGCAACACTGCCACACACCAATTTGCCTGCATATATAATAAATGTGTAGAATGAGTGGGAGAAGCTGGTTAATAAGTTTTGTTTGTTAAATTTAAACAAAGAACGAACGAACGAAACGAGCAATACAAACGGAACGGAACGAAACAAACAGAGAGAGGGATCAAACTGTTTCTCCTTTAATATTCATTCATTCTCTTGTCTCATTATCTTTTTTTGTATTTTACTTCCGGGAATTTCGTAGCCGAGTTATTTTGAGTTTTATTTTGTCTTGTTAATGAAGCACTACACAATTGGCCAATTGCCAAAAATAACTAAATGCTACCAAGTATATCAAAATCCCTAGAACACCTCTCTTGCGGTATGGGATGGGCGCATTAAGAACAAACGTATCGGGAGCCCACCTGGTGAGGTGGGGATCTCATCCTGAACATTATAGTGCGTGTTCTCTAATTGTTTTCCTTGCCAAAACTTAAAATACGTTTTCTATAAATAGTTGTGTAATGTGTAAGACTGTTCAATTTTTTGTTTGTATACCTGCTGTTCTGGTACAGCATGACAGGATGTGGAGCAAGATCCATGATCGGGATCTCTGTCTTGTGAGCGAGTAAAAAACTGCAAAACAAAGATGAATACGGATTAAAGATAAATTCCATCCATTAAAGCCATTTCGCACTCACCTCGCACCAATTGGAACGTGGATAATTAAGAGCGACTACGACTTCTGGAGGCTCCAACAGCTAAGGCGGATGCTCCGATCCCATTACGACTTTCGCCGCGCACTGGACTGCGCGAGAACTTGGTGCGACGCTCCGGCGAATGGCTGGCCGCCGACTGAGAGCGCGACCGCGGCGAGTAAGAGCGACGACGTGGACTACGCGAACGGCGGCGCATAGGTGAACGGGAACGCGAGCGACGACGACCGCCTCCACCACCACCGCCAGCACCACCTCCTCCGCCACCACCACCAGACCCTCCGCCACGACGACCGTTGCTACGAGTGGGCGACGAGGGACGGCCATAACGAGCCATCTGGACACGGAGCTCCCTGCCATCTAACATGCGACCATCCATTGCCTCCAGTGCGTCCTCAGCATCACGTTTGTCATAGAACCTGCAGATGGGAGAAATTTAAATATTAGATATGATCACATATATCTATTCGTTTAGACATAAATCCAGCTGGGTTGTGGCATTCGCAGTATGTTGGCTAGCAGGGTTTTGGTAGGCAACAGTTGCAAGAGAACACAGTTTTTCTGGCATTTTGGCTGAAGAAAATGTCCAGAATGGAAGCTGAAACATTTTCAAGGACAGCGGATAATGCAGAGATGATATCGGATGAAGGATATAGACAGGAGTTCTTGTGGCATTCGCAGTATGTTGGCTAGCAGGGTTTTGGTAGGCAACAGTTGCAAGAGAACACAGTTTTTCTGGCATTTTGGCTGAAGAAAATGTCCAGAATGGAAGCTGAAACATTTTCAAGGACAGCGGATAATGCAGAGATGATATCGAATGAAACCTATTGATAAAATTTATTGTAGCATTCGCAGTATGTTGGCTAGCAGGGTTTTGGTAGGCAACAGTTGCAAGAGAACACATTTTATCTGGCATCTCATATTGCTTGGAATACGAACATAAAGGGTAATGTGCATATGTTATTTTGTAGCAAGAAATGCAAGAAGATAACCGCCGTTATTTTAAAGAGAAAGCCCCTTTCTCCGTATGGGAAAACTTACCGCACGAAAGCAAAGCCTCGGCTCTCACGTGTGTAGCGGTCGCGCGGTATGTAAATATCACCGACTTCTCCGCAACGCTCAAAGACGCGACGCAAGTCCTCTGGAGTCGTGCGATATGTGAGATTGTCGACCTGAAAATATTAAATACCAATTATTTTTATATGCAAAAAGTGAGAGGTTAGATAACCCGGACAACGTTGTCTGGTCTGACGCAGCCGGCCGCCATTTTGTTCGCGGCGAATTATTTATTTTTGTACTTGCCTTCAGTGACACCATGCCATCGATGCGTGGTGGAGGACGGGTGCCGCCCAGTCCCCCAGCACTGCCGCCGTTGCTCATTATTGTTTAGATTAATAGGATCACTTATAAAATTAGAAATATTCCAAATATGTAAACGCGTCTGACAGCCTGTTCACAATTTTTTCATTGAGAAAATGGCGTCCCACAGTGTGACCGCGGTCACATAAAATATACCGCCCAACTCTCAGAAATATACCATCTCATTTGAAAAATATACCGTAAATATACTGACGAATTCAAGTTATTCCTCGTTTTTGATATTCCGTGGATTAATACAAACTATATAGAACATTTAGCCATGCCCCCATAATTTTATACGATTGACGAATCAATTTTTTACTTGACTGGCCTATTCTAAACACTTGCTTTTATTGAATTTCTACATACCGTTGAAAATGATATTTAATAGATTGATGAAATTGATAAAATATACCATTATATACCGATTTAACGTAAATAAAACATCGATACATATTTTTATGTTTGAGAATAAATGTATTTGTGAGGTGAAGTTTTTTGGACTGGCGAAATAATGTACATAGATGTTGGATTGACATTATTATTCTGTTGTTTCATTTATACACCCCTCCTTGTTTTACACCCGCAACTTTTGAATGTACTTGCATATATCATTATTGTACAAGGTGGTTGAAAAACACGTCGATATTTTTGTGCGATATTCAATTTGAATTCGTCACTACAATGGTCTCATGACATCTTTTATATCTGAGATGACCCTTAATTAAGGTTGCATTTGCCAACTTACATTTGAAAAGTATAACCATTGACTAAAAGCTCTTACTGCAAGCCTTCGACAATTACTCATGTTTAGTATTATAAGACCATTACACTTTATGAAGCTGGTGAGCTTGTGCCTGCGAACTGTGGCATATCGATACCAAATAATATCGATGATAATCAATCTTTGTCTCCATGCGTGGCGCTTCAAACGTGTAATAATAAAAGATATTACAATCACAGGAATCTATTTACTTGACAGGTATTCAAATTACGCCTGGACACGACAAAAGAATCTCTTACCCGAACCGGTACACACGGCCTGCAGACAAAGGTTAGATTGAAAGAAAAGCTACTCTTTCTGTCGCCAACAGAAAGTGGTCAGTCCTGGAACTATCGTGCAAAAAAGTTAATTAGTTTCTATCAAGACAACAAAGTTATTTGTAGTTATTTATTCTAGCTTTATAGTCTGGCTTAGGCCCCCCGCCTCTCTGCTCGCGAATCAACGAAAGGCGTGTGTTTTTGTGCCATTCCCAACCGCGTGTGTTTGTGAGTGGACGCAGCGTGAAGAAGAAGCAGAAGTTGAAGGAGGGCGAAAGTGTGTCGCGTGAAAAAAGTGCGAGATTTTTCATTGGGCATATTTGAAAGCAGGAACCATGGCCGCTCAAGAAAACTCGGATCTGTCCACAAAATTCTCCACGCTGAACGTGAACGCAGTGGAGTTCGTGCCGAGCTTCAGCTACGGCGGCCCTGCCAGCACGGCGGCTGTAGTATCGGCGCAAGCAGAGGGAGAAGCGCCGCCGCCAGCGGACACCCAGCCACCTGGAGCTGGCTCAGGGTCGGGATCAGCCACACCAGCCACAACTCCGGACTCCACCGGCAGCGGGGGATCAACAAATGCCTTGGTAGCGGCCGGAGCAGTAGCGACAGCATCAGCAGCGGGACCTGCGGAGGCACAAGCGGGATCCTCGTCGGCCGCCGCCTCCAACTCAGCCTCGCCCGCTCCGGGCTCGCCGGCAACCACGCCTTCGACGGCGGCAGCGGGACCAATCGAGAACCTCAGTGCGACAGACAAAATCGCAAACAATGGTAAATAGCCTAAGAGTATCCCCAGGGAGGTGGAGGTGGGGGCGGCAGCTTTCTAACTGCTTTGGCGCATTGAACTTTTCATCTGTGACGTCACATTGACGCCTGCATTTGTATATGTAACAAAGACAAGTCGCTTGCCATTGTTGTTGGCCGAGTTTACCTGCTCCCCGCCCACTTCCCCCGACCCTGATGTCAGTAAAGAAAAGGAAAAGTCTGCAATTGCTAGGTTATTATCGCCTCCAACACATAACCTCAATGTGCGGTGTGCAGCGTCGGCAATAGTGACAGTCGCATGTGCTGCTTTCGCTGCTGCATTTGTGTGTATTTTTTGTATTTCCACGACTGTAAACCGCAATTTTCATGCATAGAAACAGTTTTTAGTCGCGGCAGGCGTTTTCACGCCGTCGTGTCGCCACTAAAGTCTCATATCAGAGATGAGCAAATGATTCTCCTGTGACTAATCGCAGGTTTGCAGCAGATTGTGAAACACACACCCAAGCAAAATAGTTCAAAAACTAGATTAGTAAACAGTTCCTATTGAAAACCAGTCAACAAATTTATATAGAACCAGGTGATTCGTTTATAGTGAAATTCAAGAAATATAGTTTCCTTCAAAATCCTGCAAAATCGCAGTTCGCAGTAACAGGATGTTAAGTATGTGCCTCAACGGCTGCTCATCTCTATATACCTTTCACATTTGGATTTCACCCGGCGACGCCGACACAAGCAGCTGTTCCACATATTTGCCATTCACCGCTGTCATTTTTACGTCTGTTACGTTTTGTGCATGCGTTTATTTGGCTATTTGCTTCATACACCAACACACACGCACACCTACACACACACGCATACACACATGTGTTTAGCCATGTCTCTCATGTGTTTTGACACGTTTACGCTGCAGCTTTTGCTTCCAAGCTGCTTCGTTTGGTGCGTGGAGCGGCTGCTAATGTTGTTTCGCCTTCCACGTTATCGCTGTGGCGGCTGTTTTGGCCTGAATGGGGCACTTATTGCAGCTCCCCTGCGGTTCAAACCGCTTTGAACTTGATTTCAGTGCGGTGGCAGTCACACTGAACAGAGCGGTCCGAGTAGTAGTAGTGCCTGCCTGTTGACTCTTACACTTCAGCGCGATCAGAAGCCACGCGACAAAATTACTCACCTTTTGGGGAACAGTTTGTTTTCTCTGATGTAATAATGATTAAACAAAACGGCGGCGTCAACCAGAGCACTTGCTCAAAGAAATATTCGAAGAAAAGTTAGTAGTAACTGTGGACACGGAAAGAGACATCCGGATCCAGCTAAAAAATCTTCTACCAGTGAAAGCAAGTAAACTTCTCCTGGCCCATAGCAACCTCTTGAAACTGATTTGGATCGCAAGCAAATCTTGCATTTAGCACTATGTGACACGTGACTCATCTGGGTGCCAAGCGATTAGCATTTCTTTGTCAGGTTAACCCAACAATTACATGAACAAGTCGTCTCATAATACATATAACTTAACCTTCGATCGAAAGGAGTCCAAAGAATATCCCATAAACATTATATAAACAAGCGATCCGCACGTATTTCTACAAATCTAACTGATGTTTTCTATTCAATTAGAAACTGATCCCGCTGATAGTTGGGATGTAGATGACGATACAGTCATAACTCCTGAAGACGAAGAGGCCGAAGATGAGTTTGTTGAGGGCGAGGCTACGCCGAAGGTGTCAAAAAAGAAGATCGTCAAAGTCGAGGAGAACAGAAGCAAGCGGGAGCACGTGAACGTTGTGTTCATTGGTCATGTTGGTAAGCGGATCCGATTTATTTGTGCAAAAACCCCTGCTAACATTTCTCGTTTCTTGGCCCATGAATAGATGCTGGAAAATCAACAATTGGTGGACAGATCATGTCGCTCACAGGAATGGTGGACAAGCGGACGCTGGAGAAGTACGAGCGGGAAGCACGTGAAAAGTCGCGAGAGAGCTGGTACCTCTCCTGGGCGCTGGACACAAACCAAGAGGAGCGTGACAAGGGGAAGACCGTGGAGGTGGGACGAGCCTTCTTCGAGACGGACCGCAAGCACTTCACCATCCTCGATGCCCCAGGCCACAAGAGCTTTGTGCCCAACATGATTGGCGGAGCGGCACAAGCAGATCTGGCTGTTCTGGTCATATCGGCGAGAAAGGGTGAATTCGAGACGGGATTTGATCGAGGCGGGCAGACCCGAGAGCACGCTATGTTGGCCAAGACAGCGGGCGTTAAGCATCTGGTCGTGCTGGTTAACAAAATGGACGATCCCACAGTCAGTTGGGATCAGACGCGGTACAACGAATGCAAAGACAAGATACTACCATACCTCAAGAAGCTGGGCTTCAATCCAGCCAAGGATCTTACCTTTATGCCTTGCTCCGGCCTCAGCGGCTACGGCCTAAAGGATCAAATTCCAGAGTCCATCTGTCAATGGTACAGAGGGCCCGCGTTCATACCATTCATCGACGAACTGCCCTCACTCAATCGCAAGTCTGACGGGCCCTTCATCATGCCCATTGTCGATAAATACAAGGATATGGGAACAGTCGTGATGGGCAAAGTGGAGTCCGGAATGGCGCGAAAGGGTCAAAATTTGCTGGTGATGCCAAACAGGGTATGTAATCGACTTACCTATTGGCTTTAACTCAATTTTTAATGATTCTTCTTTTGCAGACACAAGTGGCCGTAGATCAACTGTTCTCCGACGACTTTGAAGTCACATCTGTTGGTCCCGGCGAGAATGTCAAGATCAAGCTGAAAGTGAGTGAATCCTCAGATTTTTTAGGTTTAAATATTTGTATATTAACATGTGATTTGTTCTGTAGGGCATCGAGGAAGAGGATGTCTCGCCTGGTTTTGTACTCTGCGATGCCACTAATCCCATTAAGACGGGAAAAATCTTTGATGCTCAGGTCGTTATATTAGAACATAAATCAATTATCTGTGCGGGTTACTCGGCCGTCATGCACATACACTGCGCTGCCGAAGAGGTCACAGTAAAGGTGCGTCTCCTTATATCCTGTTCAGGCCCCATATGTTCTGACACAATTCATGCATACATTTCAATAGGCCCTCATCTGTTTGGTCGACAAAAAGTCTGGTGACAAATCAAAAACACGTCCACGGTTCGTTAAGCAGGATCAGGTTGCAATTATGCGAATCGAATGCTCCGGAATGATTTGCCTTGAACAGTTTAAGCTCTTCCCACAAATGGGCCGCTTCACGCTAAGAGATGAAAGTGAGTTTTTTGCAGGGAGAAAATAAGTGCAAATTTCTTTAATAATGCTTTCTCTCTTTCAGACAAAACCATTGCCATTGGCAAGGTACTGAAGGTGGTCGAATAAATTGAGCCGAGCTACATTCTAGCGCCCGCCTTTCACTGCGACTTTGAGAAATGCATTGCACGCGAGACGAGAGACAACAAAAACGCCACGCTTTCTTCATATTTTACAAAAACCCAGGCAGTACACCCCCATACACCACATACTGTTCTTTTACATTAACAGCAATAGCAACTGATTATATATTGATTAGAGGAAGGTTATATATAGCAAACGACATCAATCGCTGAATTGAATCCGTTACCAGAGCCCGTTTTAATGTGCATTATATGAGCGGGAAAACGGAAAGTTCATTTACAACCCGGAAAGACACCCAGCTGGGACAAGCGGACAATGACTCTCCCATTCAGAGATCGAAACAGAAATGCATTATATACGAAACATAAACTATATTGTGTGCAACTAACAGAAAATCGGTAGCAAGACCATTGCAAAACAAGATGTACTATTTATATATATACACAAAAATAACACATATATATGCATATATATATATACATATGTATATATATATAAACGCATCAGAGATGATGACGATGCCGATGATGATAATTGATTACGTATGATAATGCATAAATAGGTTCTTATTACAATTTGCGTTTGTTAAGGCCATACTCTCAACTATACGTACGAGTATATTGAGAATAAGTCGAGCCGCCGTCGTTTTTATTTTGGTCTATTACTTTTGTATAAACTGTAAGCATTATATAACGTACACGTACATGCCTAAATCACGCGCAAGTCGTGACATTTTTTAAAAACTAAAGAACTAAAAGCTGCAAGCTACCCAATTTTTATATTTATACAAGCGAAAAGTAAGAAATATATCCGAACCGGTCTCCGCCACGGTTCCCCATCCCCCATTCCCATAGATTTCCCCTTTGTATGAGCCTTTGAATTGCAAATTTGTTAAATAGTCCCGCAAAATCGTTTACGATTACTTCCCCTATTATATTTTTTTACAAATACATATATAACTAAAGGCTTTAATTTAAGTTTAAGCCCCAAGATCTTTGCAAAGTTAGTTTGATTCGTAAGCTCAAATGATAGATTGTTTGAAATCATTATAACCTAAAACAACACGAAGCAGAAACCGAAACTGTACGCGAACATAATCCATTACGTAAAAATGTAATTGTTAATTTGATTACTTCATTACTTACTTTACTATATATTCCCTTTAAACACCCCAAATTTGTTTTACTACTACAAACGAATTTTTGATTTTTTATAATTTAGTAAATTGAAGAAATCGTGCAAATACCACGAAATACGAAAGCCCCATTATGAAGGAAAATAAAAATGCCTTTTTGCTATCAAGCAGAAAAAAAAAACGAACGAGGTTTTGATGTCAGTTCTTCATTGAATTTACCTATGATTTTACATATTATTTACCCATACAGGACCAGAACCAGGACCAAGGCGGTTTCAAAAAATATTCACACATTGTTCAGAGTTTTGTCCTCGTTTTGTCTAACCAAAACTTACATTCAAAAAGTATGTATGGCTTGCCCTAGCTCCCCCGCCTTTGTTAACAGCATGAACGTTTAAATAAAAAGTTGTTGCCATTGAAACAAACAAGTAAATGATTAATAAATTTATATAATAATATCATTAAACAGTCGTTGAACAGTCGCCCTTCGTCTAAGTTAATCCAATTAACTGAGAAATATTTAAATTCGAGAGCATACTCTTACTCGTACTTAACGATGGAATAGACCTGCTTTTAACGCTTTCCCCAGCCTCCTCCTAAGAATCGAAAACCGAGGGATATTTAATTAATTATATATTAATAAAATAAGTGCGATATAATTGTTGACCACGCGAGAACTTATTTAACAATGTTTCACACAACACACATAGACAGCCAGCCACTGATAACAGAACGGTGGCTCGAACACTAAGTAAGGGAATAGAAGCGATCGAAATAATAGAAATATATAGACAAAACGGGAATATTTATACAGAAAACGAAACTCAAATGTATTATTATTATACAAATACGTATGAAATGAATTGAAAAAAACAACCGCATACATTTGAACATTTTTTTATTAATAAAACGTGAAAAAAATTACAACAAAAAAAGATGAAAAACCAAGCGAACCAAAAACATGCGTGTTTTTCTTAGAGAACTTTTTATTAACAGTGCAAGGGGGATATATTTCTGGACCAAAATCCATATTTCGCAATCCATTGGAGGACCCCGCGGATTGTCTTCCTCGAAAAACAGTGGAAGAGCTTATGTAGCATGAAGCACTCGGCATACTTTTCTCACAAAACTAAAGCCACATATTTTCGACAAAAAAGTAAACCCAGTAGTCCATGCCCGATGAAACCCCAGTTGTCAATTTGTGATACGTTGTAGACTACTGGAAAATATCAGTATATAAATAGGCACCATCCAGGCAACACATAAAAATCTAAATTTTCTGTTTTCAACTAATTTTAAGCAAAAAGTGTTTTTAGATTTAAGTATAAAGTGTAAAAAAAAAAAAAAAAAAAAAAAAAGTAAAAAAAAAAAAAAAAAAAAAAAAAACGAAAAAAAGGAAAAAAAAAAAAACAAAAAAAAAGGCATAAATGTAAGCTTAGTTTGTGTTTGTAAATATTTTTTTTTTTTTTTTATAAATTGACCTTTTTTTAGACACCACGTTGCAAACGACCAGTTCCAGTAGACAATACATGGGTCATACGTATTGAACACATATACTCGTACTCGTACTCGTACTCGTACTCGGTACCACCGAAGAGAAGTAATTGGTAATTGTTCAGTTTCAGTGTCTTACCTCAGGAATCCGCAAAAAAAATAATTTTCATTCTGAAATGTACACCTAATTTCCTGCTTTTCATTTTTAGGATAAAAGCGATGCACATCGGGACACAATTCAGACTTTCTCGCTATCACCCAGGCAACAACAAACCAATACACTTCGGAGCATCCTTACACATTATGCGATGGCGAGTTCATATACATACATAGAACATTTATCGAGGGATGGATCGACGGAAAATGTAACCGACAAGCAACACGAAAGGTGTTCAGCTATGGATGGAACAAAGGATCATACGACACAAGGCATCTAAGGGATACAGTAATTAAGTAATCGGTTTACGGCATCTTAACTAAGAAAACAACCCAGAAATGTACACAATTATCTGTTTTTAATTTTTATAACAGATCGGAAGCATTCTATTCACACATATGGACACAATTGAGATTTCGTAGAACTGTGGAGTAGGCCTACTGGGGATACCACGTTAAAAAAAACGCGCCTAGAACTTTACCAAATGCTGGTGGTGTGGAAAAGAGTTCATCTATTTTCCGATGCTCCTACGTGCTGTGCCGCCGGAAGCTAGCCAGTCATATAGATTACTGTTACTGGATTAGTGCAGCATATTCCAGGCGAAAGTCTTCTCCATTAGTAAAGCTAGAAGTGGTCAATGTCTACGTGGCGAAACGATTCATTCCAAGCCGCGTTAGGTTTCAAAATAAATCGGTTTATAAACATAATGTCGAGTCTTGCATTTTAGAAACACTTTTTGTCTTTTTTGATTAAATTATATTATGTAAATATAAATTCATTTTCATTTATTATAAAGCTATTCACGGTGTAGTGTTTCTTAAATGAGTAGAAAAAACATGAAAAATTAAACACGAAAATAAACAAAATGGATAATATCCTAGACGACAGCGAGAGGTTTGTACATATGGCGGTGGAATTATGGCATTGCCGGATCTCGCTCTACCGATACTTACTCTAAAAATTTCTTCTACCTTTCGTTTCATGTTAGGATCTCGGTCTCGCCTGTCCTATAGGACCCTATTCCTCAGAATTGAGTATCACGCATTGGCTCTAGCTTTAGTATTCCTCTTGGATCCTCTCGGATTTCTTGGCCAGGAGGGGAGTAATGGGCTGGTCCTTCCTGTTGGCCCGCTCCACCTGCTTAGCCTCCTTGTCACCATAGATATCCAGGTCCCGGCCGTAGTACCAGACCAGGTAATCAAATAACATTCCAATGAAGGTGAGTACTGTCCAAAGAGAAGGAAATTAGATTGGTTTGGTTCCTGAGAACGGGGAGCCCCTGGTGATCTTACAGCAGGATAAAAAGTTGATGGAGTACCGGAACCGCGTCTGATCGTACAGCTGGCAATTGCCATTGCCGTTGCAGGTCTTCGTCCACACCAGACACGTGGAATCGATGAGGCGCCCGAATATAATCGGACCCGGAATCAAGGCAAACATACTGATCATCATCAGTGCCAATCCCTGGGCAAAGGACTTGTCCCCAGACTCCACCGCCCGGTAGTTGACCAGCACATTTCCCACACGGCCAGAGGACCCAAACCAATTGACGATCATCGAGGTTATGGAGAACACCCAGAAGCTCCAGTTGCAGCCTTGCATGCAGATCCCCGGCCGAATAACCACTGCCACTGAGCGTGAAGTCCGTGGTTTCGTCCAGTTGTGGAGGTTGAGTGGTAGTTTCAGCAGCCTCTGAGCGGCGTTGGGCTGCACTACACCAGCTTCTGCCAGACAACTGCAGTTCTCGTAGAGCTTCGACTCGGCGTTGTAGCCCTGACAGCCCGCATGGCATGTCGGTCGAAATTCATTAGAATAGGCAATGAGATTCAGGACTATCAGTTTTACCCGCCCACATGAGTCATGGAAAAGGTGTCTGGGCAGTAGAGGAAGGCATAGGATATCTGTCCCATGATGTAGACACATCCCACGATCACGTTCCACATAAGCACCTTGCTGACTGCAGGCTTCTTCTTTGACAGAACAAGGCCAGAGCCAATTAGGCCAACGACCATGCCCAGAATGGACACAGGACCCACCACCTAAAACGAACTTGGACCTTGGAATTCATTCAATATTTTTACAGACATTAATCGACTCACAATGGTGGCACTCTGTGAGTTCTTGTGGAACTGCACTTCCATGTATTTGGTGAGGAAAGTCATGAAGCCGGAGGCACCGAGGATATAGAAGACAGCCGAGGTGATGTTGAAGATCAGGAGCTTGTTGCGCAACAGTCGCATCAGGGCACGGGGAAAGTCTTTCAGCTTGGGCAGATCCGCATTCGCACCGGCCCCGGCTCCAATGTTGTCCAAGGCGGCATTCGAGGAGAAGCGACTGCTCAGCGAGAGATTCTCCTCGCGCTTGAGCTCCTCGTGGCGCATGGCCAGAGGCAGGTGGGAGTTGTGCTTGATGGGATCGTTAACCTTCGGCAGCTGCTTGGGAAAGAGTCCGATCAAACCCGAGAAGAGACACATCAAAGTGCCCAATATGACCCAGCCGAGCCACCAAGCTCCCAACCAGCGCGGATCCTTGCTGTCAATCAGCGGGGTCTTCGTGGGGTCAATGAAGGTGTTTAGGGAGATATAACCTAGGATAGGAGCCACAGGGAATCAGTATCATAAGCTCGTTAATCACGAAGTTTACCCACCAAAGAAGAAGCCAACGACTGGACCAATCATTCTCAGAGACATGGCTACCGCGAGCATCAGCGGGGTGTTTGTCTTCTTGGTGTTATCATCCAGATAGGTCTGGCCAAGGGAGTAGTACAGGGTATTGCCCACGCCCAGGACGAACTGCGAGAGGAAGATCAAGACCAGGGGCACATAAGTGAAGAGGTCATCGCAGCCCTCCTCCTTTTTTCCAACGCCACACAGTTGCTCGCTCTGCGTTGATGTGACATTCTGGTGGAGTTGAAGAAACAATATAGTCTATATAGGGAGAGCGGTATTTACTGGGCACTCACTGGGAGGGGAATACCAGAATCCGATGTGCTATTAATTAGGCTATCCTGGTACTCCTTGGTGAACTGCAAGACATCCTGGCCAGCGCCATAGATGAAATGTGGCAGGACGAGAATGTAGCAGGACAGGCCGCAGAAGACAATGCCCCAGGCAATCCAGCGCGGACGATTACGCTGTCCGCCAATGTACGATAAGATGAGGGACAACATTATCTGTGAGATCTCATTGCCACTGAGTATGATTCCTGTAAAATCAAGTAAAGTATTCAGTATGCCCACTTAAGGGTAGTTCTTCTTCTGGAGGACTTCGAACCTGTAGTCTGGCTCGGTATTTTGAAGCGTTTCTCCAGCGTGGTCAGTGTAACAATAAAATACATGTAAGACATAGCTTGGATGGTGCCTAGCAGTCCGTAGACACCCATGAACATCTTCGTGGTGGCGTACTTCTGCAGCCAGGCCGGGTGCCAGTTGGCCAATCCGCACAGGTAGTGTCCCGGTGGGGGAGCCGAGCCCCGACGTCGCACTTCCGTCATCTCAGGCCTGTCTTTCTGTTTGTCTGCCTGTCAGCCTCTGTGGGGATGAGTGGAGGACCTCGAATATCGGAGGACTATTGTTGACTTCTGGGCAAGATTCCTCGCTCGATATTCGCCATGTTCTGGAAATAGTCCAGGTAACCGTGACTTTTCCATTCGGGATCCGAAAACATCCAATCGTTAAGGGCCTATAAAAGTTGGTTAATTGTCTCGATAGGGAAATTCGAGGCATTGGGTATTGATTAACTAACGATAATGGCACCTACTCAAGATCATATTAGGTCTGGCCAGCAGCCCGATTAGATTGTGTGACGAAATTAATTTGATATCTATATGGTTTGGGGCGTGCTCTGCTCTGAAGTGTTCTGATATTGGCTATTTTTACCGCATAACGATGACCACTCGACTGACTGGAAAAAGGCATCCCTCCCTTTCAATTGATCAAATCACTCCCTTGGCCAATTGCCGTTACGAGTATCATTAATGATATCTAATCGTTCGTTGAGGTCTGATCAACAGTTTCATCAGAACCCGCTGCGGAATAATCAGAATGACAACTCGATTAGCTTCGGGGAATCCTGATCCCACAACAATTAGATATTCCACTTGAAAGAAGAATTCTCGCCCAGTATAACTCTCATTTGAACCACCTGTTTACTGGTCTAACAAATACCATTCCCTTCCATTTCGATTACTGGTCGACGTCTGCACCAATTTTCGGAGAATCCAGATTTGTTGGATGATATTATATCAGTAACACTTCCTAATCAGGTCGGACGAGGGCCGACAAAACGGGAATATTTATACAGAAAACGAAACTCAAATGTAAACTCAACCAAGCGAACCAAAAACATGCGAGTTTTTCTTAGAGAACTTTTTATTAACAGTGCAAGGCGGATATATTTCTGGACCAAAATCCATATTTCGCAATCCATTGGAGGACCCCGCGGATTGTCTTCCTCGAAAAACAGTGGAAGAGCTTATGTAGCATGAAGCACTCGGCATACTTTTCTCACAAAACTAAAGCCACATATTTTCGACAAAAAAGTAAACCCAGTAGTCCATGCCCGATGAAACCCCAGTTGTCAATTTGTGATACGTTGTAGACTACTGGAAAATATCAGTATATAAATAGGCACCATCCAGGCAACACATAAAAATCTAAATTTTCTGTTTTCAACTAATTTTAAGCAAAAAGTGTTTTTAGATTTAAGTATAAAGTGTAAAAAAAAAAAAAAAAAAAAAAAAAAGAAAAAAAAAAAAAAAAAAAAAAAAAAAAAAAAACAAAAAAAAACAAAAAAAAACAAAAAAAAAACAAAAAAAAAGGCATAAATGTAAGCTTAGTTTGTATTTGTAAATATTTTTTTTTTTTTTTTATAAATTGACCTTTTTTTAGACACCACGTTGCAAACGACCAGTTCCAGTAGACAATACATAGGTCATACGTATTGAACACATATACTCGTACATATGTACGGTACCACCGAAGAGAAGTAATTCTGTACCGGCTTGATACCTCTCAAGGCAGGCAGCGATTGGTAATTGTTCAGTTTCAGTGTCTTACCTCAGGAATCCGCAAAAAAAATAATTTTCATTCATACATTAAAATGTACACCTAATTTCCTGCTTTTCATTTTTAGGATAAAAGCGATGCACCCAGGCAACAACAAACCAATACACTTCGGAGCATCCTTACACATTATGCGATGGCGAGTTCATATACATACATAGAACATTTATCGAGGGATGGATCGACGGAAAATGTAACCGACAAGCAACACGAAAGGTGTTCAGCTATGGATGGAACAAAGGATCACACAACGACACAAGGCATCTGAGGGATACAGTAATTAAGTAATCGGTTTACGGCATCTTAACTCAGAAAACAACCCAGAAATGTACACAATTATCTGTTTTTAATTTTTATAACAGATCGGAAGCATTCTATTCACACATATGGACACAATTGAGATTTCGTAGAACTGTGGAGTAGGCCTACTGGGGATACCACGTTAAAAAAAACGCGCCTAGAACTTTACCAAATGCTGGTGGTGTGGAAAAGAGTTCATCTATTTTCCGATGCTCCTACGTGCTGTGCCGCCGGAAGCTAGCCAGTCATATAGATTACTGTTACTGGATTAGTGCAGCATATTCCAGGCGAAAGTCTTCTCCATTAGTAAAGCTAGAAGTGGTCAATGTCTACGTGGCGAAACGATTCATTCCAAGCCGCGTTAGGTTTCAAAATAAATCGGTTTATAAACATAATGTCGAGTCTTGCATTTTAGAAACACTTTTTGTCTTTTTTGATTAAATTATATTATGTAAATATAAATTCATTTTCATTTATTATAAAGCTATTCACGGTGTAGTGTTTCTTAAATGAGTAGAAAAAACATGAAAAATTAAACACGAAAATAAACAAAATGGATAATATCCTAGACGACAGCGAGAGGTTTGTACATATGGCGGTGGAATTATGGCATTGCCGGATCTCGCTCTACCGATACTTACTCTAAAAATTTCTTCTACCTTTCGTTTCATGTTAGGATCTCGGTCTCGCCTGTCCTATAGGACCCTATTCCTCAGAATTGAGTATCACGCATTGGCTCTAGCTTTAGTATTCCTCTTGGATCCTCTCGGATTTCTTGGCCAGGAGGGGAGTAATGGGCTGGTCCTTCCTGTTGGCCCGCTCCACCTGCTTAGCCTCCTTGTCACCATAGATATCCAGGTCCCGGCCGTAGTACCAGACCAGGTAATCAAATAACATTCCAATGAAGGTGAGTACTGTCCAAAGAGAAGGAAATTAGATTGGTTTGGTTCCTGAGAACGGGGAGCCCCTGGTGATCTTACAGCAGGATAAAAAGTTGATGGAGTACCGGAACCGCGTCTGATCGTACAGCTGGCAATTGCCATTGCCGTTGCAGGTCTTCGTCCACACCAGACACGTGGAATCGATGAGGCGCCCGAATATAATCGGACCCGGAATCAAGGCAAACATACTGATCATCATCAGTGCCAATCCCTGGGCAAAGGACTTGTCCCCAGACTCCACCGCCCGGTAGTTGACCAGCACATTTCCCACACGGCCAGAGGACCCAAACCAATTGACGATCATCGAGGTTATGGAGAACACCCAGAAGCTCCAGTTGCAGCCTTGCATGCAGATCCCCGGCCGAATAACCTCTTCTGGACTGGATCGACGAACTCGCGACAGCAACTGATCTTCGAAGTCATTTTCATCATTGAGCAGCGGCACCCCACTGCCACTGAGCGTGAAGTCCGTGGTTTCGTCCAGTTGTGGAGGTTGAGTGGTAGGCTCCAGTAGTTTCAGCAGCCTCTGAGCGGCGTTGGGCTGCACTACACCAGCTTCTGCCAGACAACTGCAGTTCTCGTAGAGCTTCGACTCGGCGTTGTAGCCCTGACAGCCCGCATGGCAGGCCGAGAAGTATGTGGTATCCGTGGGCTCGTGGCAGACTGGGGTGTAGCTTATACCACTGCAGGAGCAGTTGGAGTTGCAGGCACTGGTCAGGTTGAGCCTGTCGGTCGAAATTCATTAGAATAGGCAATGAGATTCAGGACTATCAGTTTTACCCGCCCACATGAGTCATGGAAAAGGTGTCTGGGCAGTAGAGGAAGGCATAGGATATCTGTCCCATGATGTAGACACATCCCACGATCACGTTCCACATAAGCACCTTGCTGACTGCAGGCTTCTTCTTTGACAGAACAAGGCCAGAGCCAATTAGGCCAACGACCATGCCCAGAATGGACACAGGACCCACCACCTAAAACGAACTTGGACCTTGGAATTCATTCAATATTTTTACAGACATTAATCGACTCACAATGGTGGCACTCTGTGAGTTCTTGTGGAACTGCACTTCCATGTATTTGGTGAGGAAAGTCATGAAGCCGGAGGCACCGAGGATATAGAAGACAGCCGAGGTGATGTTGAAGATCAGGAGCTTGTTGCGCAACAGTCGCATCAGGGCACGGGGAAAGTCTTTCAGCTTGGGCAGATCCGCATTCGCACCGGCCCCGGCTCCAATGTTGTCCAAGGCGGCATTCGAGGAGAAGCGACTGCTCAGCGAGAGATTCTCCTCGCGCTTGAGCTCCTCGTGGCGCATGGCCAGAGGCAGGTGGGAGTTGTGCTTGATGGGATCGTTAACCTTCGGCAGCTGCTTGGGAAAGAGTCCGATCAAACCCGAGAAGAGACACATCAAAGTGCCCAATATGACCCAGCCGAGCCACCAAGCTCCCAACCAGCGCGGATCCTTGCTGTCAATCAGCGGGGTCTTCGTGGGGTCAATGAAGGTGTTTAGGGAGATATAACCTAGGAGAGGAGCCACAGGGAATCAGTATCATAAGCTCGTTAATCACGAAGTTTACCCACCAAAGAAGAAGCCAACGACTGGACCAATCATTCTCAGAGACATGGCTACCGCGAGCATCAGCGGGGTGTTTGTCTTCTTGGTGTTATCATCCAGATAGGTCTGGCCAAGGGAGTAGTACAGGGTATTGCCCACGCCCAGGACGAACTGCGAGAGGAAGATCAAGACCAGGGGCACATAAGTGAAGAGGTCATCGCAGCCCTCCTCCTTTTTTCCAACGCCACACAGTTGCTCGCTCTGCGTTGATGTGACATTCTGGTGGAGTTGAAGAAACAATATAGTCTATATAGGGAGAGCGGTATTTACTGGGCACTCACTGGGAGGGGAATACCAGAATCCGATGTGCTATTAATTAGGCTATCCTGGTACTCCTTGGTGAACTGGAGGACATCCTGGCCAGCGCCATAGATGAAATGTGGCAGGACGAGAATGTAGCAGGACAGGCCGCAGAAGACAATGCCCCAGGCAATCCAGCGCGGACGATTACGCTGTCCGCCAATGTACGATAAGATGAGGGACAACATTATCTGTGAGATCTCATTGCCACTGAGTATGATTCCTGTAAAATCAAGTAAAGTATTCAGTATGCCCACTTAAGGGTAGTTCTTCTTCTGGAGGACTTCGAACCTGTAGTCTGGCTCGGTATTTTGAAGCGTTTCTCCAGCGTGGTCAGTGTAACAATAAAATACATGTAAGACATAGCTTGGATGGTGCCTAGCAGTCCGTAGACACCCATGAACATCTTCGTGGTGGCGTACTTCTGCAGCCAGGCCGGGTGCCAGTTGGCCAATCCGCACAGGTAGTGTCCCGGTGGGGGAGCCGAGCCCCGACGTCGCACTTCCGTCATCTCAGGCCTGTCTTTCTGTTTGTCTGCCTGTCAGCCTCTGTGGGGATGAGTTACTCCGATGCTACTGTCTTGTCCGTGGAGCTCAATAAACCATTGAATGCGACAGATAAGATTGCGCTACCGGACAGGTGGACAGGAGTGATAGCGCTGCAATGGACAGATACAAAATTGTTTATAAATCACTGATGCAACACCCTCGAATATCGGAGGACTATTGTTGACTTCTGGGCAAGATTCCTCGCTCGATGTTCGCCATGTTCTGGAAATAGTCCAGGTAACCGTGACTTTTCCATTCGGGATCCGAAAACATCCAATCGTTAAGGGCCTATAAAAGTTGGTTAATTGTCTCGATAGGGAAATTCGAGGCAATGGGTATTGATTAACTAACGATAATGGCACCTACTCAAGATCATATTAGGTCTGGCCAGCAGCCCGATTAGATTGTGTGACGAAATTAATTTGATATCTATATGGTTTGGGGCGTGCTCTGCTCTGAAGTGTTCTGATATTGGCTATTTTTACCGCATAACGATGACCACTCGACTGACTGGAAAAAGGCATCCCTCCCTTTCAATTGATCAAATCACTCCCTTGGCCAATTGCCGTTACGAGTATCATTAATGATATCTAATCGTTCGTTGAGGTCTGATCAACAGTTTCATCAGAACCCGCTGCGGAATAATCAGAATGACAACTCGATTAGCTTCGGGGAATCCTGATCCCACAACAATTAGATATTCCACTTGAAAGAAGAATTCTCGCCCAGTATAACTCTCATTTGAACCACCTGTTTACTGGTCTAACAAATACCATTCCCTTCCATTTCGATTACTGGTCGACGTCTGCACCAATTTTTGGAGAATCCAGATTTGTTGGATGATATTATATCAGTAACACTTCCTAATCAGGTCGGACGAGGGCCTTTAAACCGTTAAATGAAATCAGTGAAATGAACTCGGGATGGATAAAATAGAATTCCATCATTGCACTCAAAATAAATGTATGATATTATTTCCTTGTTCAGTAAATGATTTATTACAAGCCATATCGCATGTGATATGTGAAATATACATAGATCACTTGATAAGCGCATGTCAGGGATAGATTACCCCTGGCAAAGTATCATTTTGTTTATCAAAATTTTGATGCAAAGTTTTCAGAAAGTGATTCATTACAAAACATATCACAAATCACATTTTGTTAATTTCAATTTCAGGGTTCTTCCACCAATAAACCAAAAAATATAGCCAAGGCTCCAAGCAACCTTAGATATTTTGAAGATACTTTTTCGGGAAGATTCAGCCTTTGCAGAAAGAAACACCAAAAAGAACTGCCTGCATCCCTGGGAAAGTAATCACTTTACGAGTATCAAGGATATACTCGTACACGAAAACCCCTTCCGCATGCCGCAACTACCCCAATGTCAATCGCCGGCTCGGGGCTGCCCAGATAGTAGTGGCTCCCACAATCGGAATGCCAGACAGGTGCACGTAAATAGTACTACACATACTATACTCGTATATGTGGTACAATACGTACTTACGGTGAGTAGTTCGTAGATTTCCTCTATTATTCGCACATTTATTTGTATAATCTTATCGGCACTTGAACGATTAATGAAATTGTCGCTCGAGTTCCTTTTCACAGGGACCTGAACATGTCCCGGTCGCAGAGTCGAGGGCAATCGAAACGGTAAAGATACGGGGCTGCAGCGCGAGGATGGATAAAGAGAGGACCGACCGACCGTTCAGCGGTGTGGCGCAAATCAGACTGAAAATTGAAATTTTTCGAAATTTTCGTCGCTGTCCGGCCGGACCAAGCCGCTGCCTGTCGCCAATCGAAGCCCGATAAAGCATTATCGTCAAAGCTATAAAACAAAGCGGCGGGCTGCGAGTAAATAGTTCCAATCGGTTCTCGGTTCTCTTAGGCCTATATGCACCTCCCCTCCAACGGCTCACCCCGGCCCGCTCATTGCTGGCCCACGTGCAAATATGATTTATGTCGTTTCTCCAAAAAACTTGACGTTATCACTTGTCTTTGTCTTTCGCTGAAAATAGCCTGTTTCTCCTTCGCACTTTCTCGTGGAGACTTCTCGGTGGCCATAGCAATAACAATGACAATAGAATACGGACAATAACAGAACGACAACGACAATGACATTATTATTACGATCCACTGACCACTCGGCGCCCCCACAGTCCGGCACAATGATTAGATTTGTAAGCAAGTGAATTAGGCAGAATGTGGGTAGCGTAGAGTGTGTGCAGATTGTGTGGAGACTGTGTGGGGAGTGTAGAGTGTAGAATGTGCATCCAACGAGGGCCGCTACAGCAGTACCTAGTTGTCCGTTTTTATGTGCAGATCCGGATCGTGGATATTCTGGACGAACCTGTTCCGGCCAATGTCCCACAGCATAATGAATCCCACGGACAGCACAAAGATCAGAAGGCCAAGTGCGAAGATGCTCTGGGAGAGGACGGAACTTATGTATTTGTTGCAGTGCCAGCACGGTTTCGGCTTGTAGTCCGGATTAAAGCCGGAGTCAGATGCTGCAAAAGAAACAGATGATTCTATAATTATAAAATACATTTGCACAAGAGCAGCACCCCACCTTCGGTCATGACATCCAAATGGAATGAGTACAGGCTCAGGCGGGCTCCTTCATCCGAATAGGCGGTGATGGACTGACAGCACAGACTGTTCTTCAAGCTGAAGAATATCAGTTCCCGCGGATAGTACGTCACATTGATGTTGAAAATAATGCGTGTGATCTGCCAGCTGCCGCCCACAGGCAAACTCTCGATCAGCATGTAGCCCATATGGGTATTCAGTACAATCACGAAACCCTCGTTGACGCCGTGGGAACCCACCAGACCCACCTGCAGACTCTCGTTGCCCGTTTTCAGCTCAACGTAGGTGCGATTGTAGTGCACCTCATGGCCGACTTTTACCTCCTCGGCCAGAATGATCTTTAGCACGCCAACGATGGCCAGCTCATGTCGCAGAATGGTGAGTTTCGTGGGATCTGCCTTTTGGCCAACATCGCCAGTGAAGACGACATTCGTATCTTCGTTGTGGCTATGGCGCATGCTGGACGTGCTGTAATATCTACGACGCTTGAGAGCTCGGGACTCCTCCTCGAAGGCCGTGTAGATGTGGATGACGCGGCAACTCTTGAGCTCATCCAAGACGGCGGCTATTGTGGCATCTAAGAGAGAGTAGACCAGGCATGATCAGTTGCTGCACTTGGCCATTGAATCGAACCCACCATGTGCCGGCAGATTGCGATCCCCGAAGTTGAAGCAGTGTATACGACCGATCTCGCAAGGAATCTCCTTCGCCAAATTAATCTCCGTTCCGTCCGCGGGTAGAACGTGCCAAACCAGGCCAGGACTGATCGATACCCGACTAATGTGGTCCAATGCCCTTATGGGCTTCTCCACCTGACTGTAGAATCGCACGGGCAAAATCTGACTCATCATCGGGTAGCATGAAGGGCAGTTTATATCTTTGGCCGTTAGCTATAAGGATTAGTTCCAAGAATGTTGATCGGTTAAGTCGGTTTTCTAAACGTACGATTATTATATCAGGAGTTACCTCTGTGGCCAGGTAGACCACTATCATATAGTCCTTGTGAATCGGTTTCAGCATCCGAACCAAGTCAAAGGTTTTCATGTATTTAAATATGGTTTGAGGCGGGGGTCTGCTGAGGACCAATTTCAAGCAGCTATAAGCGATATGTGACTATTAAGGACTCACGTGTCTAGTCCCCATATCAGCATGGGTGGAGTACTGGGAGGAATAGTGGCCCAGACCAACTTTATAATCATCAGAACACACAACCAACGATACATTTTGATGCAAATTGAAATCAGTTCTTAAATTTCTTTGGCTATATAATTTACAGATTTTCTTGAAGGCTTTTCGTAAGCTATATTCAAGGCCGACTTTGTTTTCTTCTAATGAAAAATAGATACTTGCATATCGTTCACAGTACTTTCGCTTCAGAAATCATAGCTAAAATATAACTACATATTTCTAGGCTACGATGCCTTCGTAATATCTCTATTTATGCAGCATCATTAATCCTAAGCCTTAAGCCTAAGAAGGAAAATAGAATAAGTCAATATATAACCAAATATGGGTAGAAAGGCTCGGAACTTCTCCACGGTTAACTTAGAGTAAACTTCTAAAATGAACTCACTCCTGAACAGATCGGGACCATCTTATATTAACTCCAAGCGATCCCAATTGTTTAGATACATGCTTGATGCTGCTGCAACATGTCCCCCACGATCCCACGATGCGTAAGCGGCGGCAATAAAGTTGCTATTAGGCACGAAAATGAAACAAAAAGCACATAAATAAACTCTGATAAGATAAAACGGGACGCCTTATCAGTGGACGGACAGACACTGAGAGCGAGGCGAGAGGTGTACCCCAGGTAGAGCTCTCCTCAGTTTGCTCTCATCCAGCTATTCGAATAGACGTTGGTCTGGTCAGTGCGCGGTGTGGTGAAGATGCCATCGATTCATGGCCATTGAAGAAAGTTAATATCTAAAAAGCTAGTGAGCAAAAAACAAAAACGAAATACATATCGAAATCGAATAGAAATATGGCGCAAAATATGCGCAACTCCGATCTATCGCAGATAGCTGTAAATGCCAACAACATACCCGACGGTGGGTCCCAAGAAACTCATAAATAGTGCCTCCGTGACTGCCTCGACACGTAATCTATAAAATCCTCTCTTCCTCCCAGACAGCGTCGATTGCGGTATCAAGGGTCTGGGCTGGTGCCGTGGCCCAGGATGCCAGAAGTATGCCCGTCTGCGCACGTTTGTCCTGGTCCTGGCCTGCACTGGGATGCTCCAGGGCGCCAGCGAATCCTACTTCCGTGTGTCGGCCAAACAGGCTGCATCCCAGTACGGCTACAGTGCCCTGCTAGTCGGTGAGTAAGCCACACCTATCCCCTATCGCAAAAACACGAACATTACTCGCGCAGCCAGCTCAGGTGTACGGTAGTAATCGAGGTGTTGGCCTGGTTCTACGAGGAGATTTTTTGTGAGTTATCAGTTTTGCGATATTGTTGACGATTGCCAGTGTCTGTGGGCGGGGGCATTCGTTCTCCCCTTTATATACCCAGTACTCTTCAAGGTACAAGGGTATATTGTATTTCTACCTAAGGTTCCTAAATTGGTAGATGGACCGAAGCCCAAAGCCCAAAGCCTGGAGCCAGATCAAAAGACAGTCTGAAAAAATCGTGTCCCAAAGATTTGTACGCGCGTTACTAATCTTACTATTTATATGGTTTTTCCCTCCTTGCTGTCAGTATTGCAATCGCTTTTTCCACAACGGGTATCGAATAGTCCAAATGCGACTCAATAGAGTTATCATTCCATTGTTTTCCATATCTGTGGGGGCAAGATAGCTATTCGTCATCAGATGCAATACGTAATCAGAACCAAACCTTCATCCGGTCTGGCCAGAATGACTGGGAAATTTTACCTATGGATTTACTTGTACCGAAATTACCGAAACATTCTTCATGCTATAGGGAGCCCAATGTGGTGTTGACATCTCATATCAAATGCAATTGACCAAAAATGTGTTCGCGTTACTCATACGTCATATCTTTCTCTATCAATTGGGCTAGATAAGGATGATATACTTGGTGGAATTCTGGGTTTTCCTTCAACTAAACTAAAGGCCTCGTATTTATAAAGGTTTCTTTTGATAACTTACCCATAGATTGGCTACTGGTGACTAGCGGCCTGTGCCAGGCTGTGTTTGCCTTGGTGTTCGCCTTCTGGGCGGATGTCTTCCATCCGATCAAGTGGCTGGTGGGCACGTTGATGCTTCAATCAGTGACGTGTGTGATCGCCATCATTCCCAACATAATGAACTTGTAAGTAGCATACAGTAACCTTACATTATCTATCCTCTAACACTGTGAAACCTCTTTTAGTGCTGATGGGACCAAGGCAAAGGATGCTCTCTTGGATGCGAATCTGTGTGCGACTTCCCTGGCGCAGTTCCAGAAACTGACGCTGACAGAGGCCCAGAGCAGCACCATCACCCTGGTGTTGCTCTTCATACTCCAGCTAGCTCTGGGCATGGGCGGACTGGCGTACTACACCATCGGCGTCAGCTACATCGACGACAACTCCCTGTCCCAGGACAGTCCGGCGGTGATTGCTGCCACGCTGGCGGCTCGCGTCTTTGGCCAGCAGGCGGGATCGTTTCTGGTCTTGGGCGTGGGCCTGACCCAAGTCGGCTGGTGGCTGGGTTGGGCAATCCTGGCGCCACTCATATTTGTGGGAGCCGTGATGGTGGGGCTGTTCCCGAAGCGACTGCCCAAGACGGTGATCCATCAAGCCGCTCAGCGGATAATCGAGCAGTCGAACATGCGCAGCTTCGGCAGCCAGTTCTCGACGTACCTGGACGACACGGACTTCTGGCCCTCGATGAAGCGGCTCTTCAACAACCGCCTGCTGATGGTCAATCTCGTGAGCATCATGTTCGTCCAGAGTGCTATCGTGAACTTCGGCCTGCAGGAGGAGAGCTATCTGCAGAGTCGCTTCTTCCTGCCGTACAACGAGCAGGATGGTCTCACGGAGGAGTGGCGCTCTGCCTTCGTCTCGTACTTCCTCAAGCCTCCGGTAATGGCAGTGGGCATGCTGATCGGGGGACTGGTCATCTCCAAGGCTCAGCTTTCGGCCCGCACCATCGTTGGGATCAACATGGGCATGGGCCTCCACCTGGTTGCCATCTTCGTGGGATTCGTCTTCCTCAAGTGCGATGTCGGGGCAATTGCGGGCGTGGTCGGGGGCAAGCTCAGTCAGCCCTATTGCTCGAGCCAATGCCTGTGCACGCCCACCGCCTTCATGCCGGTGTGCCCGGAGAACAGTAGCATTACGTACTTCTCTCCGTGCTACGCCGGCTGCACCAAGCAGACCTCCATCAACAGTTTTGAGCTCTTCGAGGGCTGCAGCTGCAGTGGGGATCAGACTCAGAACACCTCGGGCCTGATGCGTGCCACGGCCGGAGCTTGTAGTGGCGACGTCTGCCAGCAGACCATCATCCTGTTCCAGATTTTCAGCATTTCGTCGGCCTTCCTGCTGGGCATGATGACGATTGGCAAGACTTTGATAACACTACGCGCCGTCCTGCCGCAGGACAAGACCTTGGCACTGGCTTTCGAGGTGATGCTCGTCGGACTCTTCGCCTATATTCCCGTGCATCTCAGCTACGATTTGGTGACCCGTAAGTACTGTCCACACTCTTCTTGCGGGCTTCTTGCTCATGTTTTTCCCTTTACAGGCTCCACATGCGTCTACTGGGCTCCCAACTATGAGCGTTGTCTGCTCCGAGAGACCCCGAAGCATGGAAACATCCTGGACATTCTCACCGCCAGCTTGATCCTGACTGGCGTGCTCTTCGATATTCTGGTGTTCATCTTCGCCAAGGGTCTGAACCTCTACAACTGCAAGGTGACGGACAACAACTACACGCCTTCGCTGTACGCCCCGATTCCGCACGAGGACACAACCGCTTCGGCGTCTGCGCCACGAGGTGGCAGCCCCCTGACCACGACAACCACATCCATGGCCTCCGCATCACCCATGCAGCGACGGGATGCTCCCAAGGAGGAAGCTCAACAACCGGTAGGCGTTTTTCGGAATCCCAGCTCCGTGACAACCTCTTCCGGTGGAGCCCAAAGCATTGTTGAACCCAACGGCAGTGGAGTAACCTATGCCCAGGTGATCTTTCCTCCGGACAGACGCAAGGCCAACGATGGCAACACCTCTCCCAAGCGCCTGGCCGTTCCTGCCAATGTCCCAGTGCATCATCTCTCCGAGACTGATGTGCGCGCACAGTTGGGCACCCTTAGGTCCTTCAATGCCCCCAGCCAAGTGGCTGATCTGGGTCATGATGTTGTAGACAAGCAGCCCCAGCCACAGGTTCAGCTCTTGGAGGAGCCACAGCAAACAATTCCTCCTGTTCTTCCGGCAACGGATCCACCGACAACTGTTCCAGCTCTTCCAGAAACATCTCCACCGATAACTCCACCTCCTGTCCAAAGAACGGAGGTTATTGATCACAAGCAGCTGGATGAAGGAAGACCTCAAAGTCCCGAAACGGATTTCTGACGCGGTCACACACAAAGTATTCTAAAGTTTTTTATTATATTTCTTAGTCTAGATAAAACCCTAATATCAAGAAACGAATCATTTGAACAAATAAAGGTATTCTTCATTTCATTCTAAATCGGAATTGGTAATAGCATTTATTGGTTTGGTTTTAAGGACTATACACAAATGTGTACAATATCCTCGGAACGACAAAAAACACTAGCTAGTGTTGGAGGATGATGCAGGCGTGTGAAGCAATGGAAACTAATTGATCGATCAGACCCACTTTTTCTGATAGATTTGAGACTCCAATTTTCTTTCATATATTTTTTTTTTTATTGTTCTGGTTTTTAATTTGAAGAACTTTTCAATTCTGAAAACCTAATGCCTGCAGCTATTAATCGACTCAATAAGCTTTGTAGGTTAAGCTCTGATTATCATATATGTTGCCCAGATGTTGCGGAATTTTTACTGCAACATTGGGGGACTCGACTCGGCCTGAAAGTAGGCAATAATGACATCGTGTTTTACAGCGCATCTATTCCATTCCTGCTATATCTTACCGACCTTTCACGTCTTTTTCAAACAGCCAGAAAGTATGGGATAGGCAAGAGCCTTTAGCCTCTTTACGATACTGCACGATAGGATAGGATACACTGCACGAGGAAGAGTGTTGGTGAGAGAGATAGAGCGCGTAAGCGCGTGGTAGGTAACAGACAGACGTAACTACAGTGGTGCTCAAAGACTTAAGCCACAAGAACAACACCAAGAATTTAAACGAAAATCAAGAAACAATTTTATTTCACAGTTCGAATTTTTTGTGTCACTGCGGTGGCCATTGCAAAACATTGATTCCTTCTTGGTTAGGCCACGACTTGTCTATCTGGCAGAAATGTTTCGGGTCGTTGTTTTGTTGAAATATCCAGGCAAGTGGCAAATTATCGGCATATTCTCCAGATAAATTGTTACTAAGAATGTCTCTGTACATTTCGCCGTGGGACCTACGCCCATTGCTGTCCATCAAGAATGTTCAAAAGCGGCTTCAATTCGCCACAGAGTATATTCACAAAGGTCCCCATTTTTAGAATGTGATTGTTTGGAGCGACGAATCCAAGTTTACTGTCTTTGGAAGTGATGGTGAACGACGTCCTCCCAACAAAAATGTAAATCCAAAATACACAAAGAAGACCGTTAAACATGGTAGCGCTTCGATCATGGTCTGGGGTGTTTCATCGCGTCGGCCCGAAACCATCTGCATTAGAGGCCACTACTCACAATAACGTTGCATGTGACTCCAAAGCAGATGACACCCATCCAACGTTGAGAATCCACTTTTTGCACATATTTTGGTTTTCAGTATAATTTTATTTTTTCCTTTATTTTAATTGTAGGTGTTTTTGCAGTTGATTTTGTATCGTTTTGTTTAATTTATTTGCAATTGTGGCTGCACTTACAAACTAATTAATAAATTAATAGTTAAGCTTAAAAAGAGACTTAAAATGTAGAAATCATAGGAGGAAAACTAGACATGAATTGAAAATAAAAATCATGGGAAAAATACTTTGAACAGAATTACTATGGGTTTTGGGTAGTCCGTCCGTGTATCCGCCGGGTAGAACGCAAGTTTTGAGCACTTCAATGAGAGTATTTATTTGGTTTCACAACATTCTTCTTTCACTTTTCGTTTTGGATGGTTTCTATTTCTACCATTCTTTCTCTAGCTTTCCTTTTTTCCTGCCCACGCAAACCCTAGACAATTTGAGTCTCCGCAGGTTGCATTGAGTGTGGGGCAGGGCTGGGGCAGGCTGTTCTGCCGTGCCCCAAATGAGTGAGTGCGTTCTGGCATTTCAAAACTTGGCTTCTAGGGGGCGGATACGGTCCGAACAGCAGGGAATGACTTCCTGTTGGAAGCATTGCCTTTAGGGGGATTCACACCTTTATATCTGTGCTGCAGCAAAACATTTTTCATCTTTCTTCTTCTTGTGGGAGTCTGGTAGTCTGGTGGTCTGGTGGTCTGGTGTTCGAGTGCGAGGGGGTAACGAAAAACGAATGTGGAAAAAAATCCTATAACAGATTTTGTATAAACATCGAGGCATTTTGAAATAAAGATTAATGCAAAACTATCAACTAAATAATTATAACAAAAAATAGGACGACCTTTTTCACTTTCTTCTTACAGTTTAACTTTTTCATTTCGTTTTGTTGGGTTTTGCGGGTTTTGTTTTCCTTGTTTTTTCTTTGCATTGGATCCTCAGTATTCTTTGTCACTTTTGAAGTTTTTTGCTTTTGTTTCAATTTTGTTTTGTTCTCAATTTTCAATTTTCAATTTGAGTTAAGTTTTACACAATATTTACAGTTATTGTTGATTGATTAAGAATTTTAACAAACAATTGTGATAAGCTTTCGTGTTTGTTTGGTTTGCGAATAGTTTTACAATTTTTTTAAAAATATATCTTGAAAATATTCTAAAACTACGACAATTTTCTACGTGTTTTTCGTTTTTTTTTTGTTGTTTAAATTTGAAACATGCATAATTATGATTTAGTTAATATTTTCTGTGTGGTTTTTGCTTTGTTGTTGGTTTTGTTTTTTGTTTTTGTACAATAAAAGTAAGGTTTTAAATGTAAATTATAAAAATAGCAGCTGGCTTTTTTTTATCATATTTAAATATTGTGTGGAAATTTGAATTTTACTTTCTCGCTTCTCTTGTTATTTGCTTTTTTACAATTTACATCTTATGTCTCTGACTGCACAATGCAAATTATCACATATTTTTCTTTACATTTCCTTTCTTTATCCTTCTCTACCATCTTCCTTCATCCTTCCATCCTCTTCCGCTTCTTCTTCATCTTCTTATTCTTTTTCTGCATTTCCCAAGCGCTCTCTTTTACAGTTTATTGATTTGCGTGTGTGTGTTTTCTGTTGCTGCTGTTTTTGGCCAAAATTCTACTTTCTGCAAGTATTATTTTGTGGCCATTACATAGTATACATCTACATGGTATTTTATTTTATATTGGGGTTTTTTCACGTTTTATTTGTAGCGTTAATAACATGGAAACAAACGGTAAACAAGGATAAAAGATAATCAAACAAAGACGGTGGACAAAATCATGTCTGTTTCCGCGCAGCAGCGCCTCTTTAAAACTAACTGTAATTCTTCATCTTCTTCTGTTAAGCATAACAGCAGACGTTAACAGCATGCAGCCGCAGCCATTGTTAACGTGCAGTCTATGTGTGTTGTGTGTTGGTCTGTATGTGTATGAATTGCTTAAATGTGTGTGTTGTGTGTGGTGGTGGTGGTGGTGGTGTGTCTGTGTGTGTGTTAAACAAATATCACAATCGAGAAATTAACAAAACAGCGACTGCACAGCGGTACAGGAACAGCCAGCAACAATAGCACATGTCCAGACAACATTCGCTGTTAACTAATACTTTCATTTGCAGACTGTTAAATGGTTTGCATTTGCTGTTGCTATTTCTGTTACTGTTATTGTTGCCGTCCTGCTCTGAGTTTCGCTTTGCTCTCTCCCTCTTGCTCGGTCCGTGTGCCGCAGGCTGCGGCGACGCTGGCATTCGAAAGAGACAAAGTTGAGCTTACATTACGGTTACTCTTCCCACATTCCAGTGGCCGGGTCTGTGTACGCCTCGGCCATGTTACGTTCCAGGAGAGAAAACTAACACTAACACCCACAGCCTAGGACATGGGGCCGTTCGTGTTCACAGGCGCTGTCTGTCCAGACGCCGCCGCCGCTGCCGCTGCCGCTGCTGCTGCTGCTGCTGACTGCACCTGCTGCTCCACCGCTGCCACTGCATCGACAATGACGCTGCTGCCATTCTCAGCGCTGCCATTGGGAATGGTTGTGGGGGCCGCTGCCGTTGCGGGACTGGTAGCTGCTCCCACTGTAGCCACTGCTGCCTGACCAGCGCCAGCAGCCACTGCCACTGCCGCTGTCGCTGCAGGTGGGGCCTGGATGGCCGGCGTGGCCGGGGGGGCGCCCACTGCCGCCGGCTGCTGGGTGCCGGCGATCTGCAGCTGCATCTGCAGCTGCTGCAGCGTCTCCTGCGGTATGTTCGACTTTAGGATGTTGTTCTCCAGCTCCAGCTTATTGATCTTGTCCATTAGCTCGGAGATGCGTTCCTTTAGGACCTCCACCTCCTCGCGCACGGCGATCATGAGATGCGATTTGACCAGATCCTAGAAAAGTACAAGAAGCAGGAGAGTGTTGATTAGTATTTTTTTGTTTAGTAACAGAGAGATCACAACTCTCTGTTATTCTATGTTCTACTAAGGGAAAATCTTTTACACAGTTTTTAGGGACTTAGGGAACATTTCTTTTATGGTTTTATCTCTACTTTCTTTATCAGTATGATGCATAGAATGAATATTTACTTACAAGATAGCAATAGACACTCTGCTGTTTGTACAACACCCGACATACTGTGACTCATTTCAGCCGGCTGTTATTTAACATTGCCGCTGTTGTTCTTCTGCTTCTGTTACAGTCACAGTGTGGGGTTTCTTACAGCCGTCTGTTATTTAACATTTATTGCGCATTTCTACCCTTTTCATTCTGTTTTGTGGCCCCATTCATAAATCGCATTTCGCTCCTCTGTTGCCAACCAACCAATGTTTGCTCAATGTGACGTGTTTCCTCTTGCGGCTATTTTGATGTATTTGCTGTGTAAATGTAAATGGCTCCCCCCCTCCTACCACACAAAAGAATCAAATATGTTCTCGCTCGTGTCACTGTCAATGCCATGCAGCGGAGGAACACGTCACCGAAAACCCAGACCCTGACCACATAGCAGCTCACCTGGGCCCGCACCCCCCCTCTCCTGGCTACACCTTGTGAAAATTTAATAAACCTATTAAAGAGCAGCCACAAGCCAAAAGGAAAACGAGTGCAGCAGGCAAAAATCACTTTTTCTAGAATAATCGCACAAAGGAGAGTGAGAGAGGGAGAGCAATGTCTGGGGTACATTCGAACTCTCTTTTATTCCCAGACCCTCACTTTCTATGGGCTTTAGGTGTGCAGGCGGATTTAGAGGCACGTGTTCAGGTGAATTTGTGGGTAGCCATTTTTTATGGGAAATGGGGAAATGTCAATAGGCTCTCCGCTACCACACAGTCGATGACATTTCTCTAGTTCCGTTTCATGAGAGAGTTTTCTTTCCACCTCTCTCTTTCGCTCCACCCATGCAGCAACCATCTCTATAAATAGTCAGCCTCTGGCTCTGCCCGCTTGGATGCTTTCGTCGTCGTCGTCGTCGTCTTCACTTTCAACAATTTCTTTCGACATTTTCTTGTTGTTGTGGCCTGATTTCTGTCGAACGAGCGAGCGAAATAAAAATGCTGTGCGTCGTCGGCCATCACCATATAAAAATCCCAAAGAAAGAAGCAATCAGCCAAAGGATAAGGCTATATAATCAGCTCATAAGTACGTCAGGCAAGAAACATGGCACGTCATTATACGAAAAATATTTAGCAGATCCCCAAGAAGAATCGGGCAGAAAGCCGAAGCTCGAAATACCCCATAAAATCTATAGAGATCAGCTCTTAATTTCCATAATACCCATGGGCAGGGTATTGCCAATGAAAAGCCCATTAATTGAACAATTTTGAACCGGGCGCGCGTTTTATTTCATACAGCTCTCATTAGTCATACCTTCTCACATTCTACACGATAATATATAACACACACACACACCCCGAATAGGGAGGGCAGTGGGCACGGGCACCACCATGAGGATGAGGCATGAAAAGCCATCGGAAAGCCGTCGCATGTTCTCGGAGCATGGTTTTTGCCTTGGCACCAGTGCCAAAAAAACAAAACAAAGTATATACCAAAGAGCAATGAGAAATTATACGGGGGTAGGGTATTCTGCACGTTTTTTTCGCTGCTAATAAATTATTTTTATAAAAATATCCACTTTTATTTTTAGATCCGTGTACACTCATTAAAAATCGGCATTACCAAAATTAGAAGTCAGCGGCCGACAGCCAAAATTTGATAAAAGTTGAGGCATAAATCGGTGCAAATCAAAAAAAAAGAAAAAGACAAAAACAATAAATAGGAAACCGCATTAAACAAACGCAAACCGGTTAAAGCTGCTTTGGTTCTGCTCGGCTTTCTGTTAACAATGAGGTGCAAAAAAGCAGCAAGGTAAAAAAACAAACAAATTAATACACGGCAGACAGACCTAAATATGTACATTGTATATCATTTATTTGTGGTTCCAGTCGCAGTGCCCGACAGCGCAGGTGTGTCTGGATGTTTGGTTTTTTTTCTTTCCCAGTTTATGTCTTGTCTAGATCTTTGTTTTTCACTTGTTTTCTTTCGTATAATTTTCGTGATTTATGGCTTGGTCTTTGCTCTTGTCTTTTATTATTTCTATATTATTTTATTGATGAGATTAAAGTCCAGATGTGATCTGTTCCCGCTGCCATTCCTTCCATCTTTTATCAATTTTCTTTGCACAATTTATGGACCTTCTATTCTTTCAATTTCTTATCAGTTTTTGCTCAGACAATCCCCCCGAAGATAAGGCCTGGAATTGCTGAATTTATTGACAGAGATAAAATTAACCGCTGGACAGGTAAAGAAGCACTTGAGAAGCAGTCTTCTCTCTCTCTCTCTCTGTCTCTGTTTCGTTCTTTCCCTCTGAAGCAATGCTAATTATACACACACGTGCACGCATACAGGGAGCGAAGGAGGGTACATACTCATACAGAGTGCCTGTCTGTACACTGGAGAACAGAACCGGGTTGGGTTCGGTCTTGGGGTCAGGTCACGCGCTTCTCGCTCCCTCCACTCCACGGACCGTCTCTTGTGGGTATCTCTTCTCTCCAAATCTCATGCAGTTCTCAATTTTTGTCTTTCTCGTTTTGAATGTTTTTTTTTTCGGTTGCATTTTTCTCAAACAAACATGGCGGAAGAGCCAGAGAGTCGCTGAGGCTGAGGTTTTTTCTTTTCTTTTTTCTTTTCGTTTTTTGTGGTGTACACTTGTCGGGGTCCTTGTTTAGGTAGAGGAAGCGAACCGAACCGAGACAAAACGAACCCTGGTGGTTCCTCCTTTGTCACAAAGAACAAAGGATTTTCGATATGATGAAATGATTGAAACCTCACTCTTTTCTTTTTTTGCACATTAGCTAAAGTAATTTTCTGACAAGTGACGGACACATTTTTTCTCATTTACCAGATTTCACATTATTTTTTTTTGTGGCTTTGACGACATTGAAAAATTGCCAACAAAAAATGCCACACAGCCTCCGTGAGGCCCAAATATATGCGGGAAAAAATCAATAAAATTGCATCTAGTCTCAGTTGGAGACCAGGTAGAGAGACCGGGGTGTTAGAGAGGGAGGGGGGATGGGATGGGATGGGGGATGTGCTGTCTCTAGATATACATACTTTTGCATTGGGCACCATCACATAGCAGGGGCTGTCGTAGCCCTTCTGCCAGATCTCGTAGAGCCAGTTCTCGGGCTGGCGCAGCGACATTGTACCCATCATATTTTTTGGCTTTTGGTCTGTCTTTATGGATTTTTTGGTTTATGGAAAGTGGATATTTTTCTCCCTGCACTTGCACTGGCACAAAACTTCAGGGTTTTTTTTTCTCTATTTTCTTTGGATCACAGTTTTGTGTTGTATTTTCTGATATTTTTCAGCACTTCACTTTTAAATATTCTTCTTGCTTCTTGTTTCTTTTCAGCTCTCCTTTTTTGGGCTTGTTTGTGTGGCAAAAGTTTAGCAATAACTGAATCTGCTGCTTAGCTTTTCAGACTGATTTACGAGACCGGCGCAGAGCTTTTTTTTTCGTGCGAGAGCAGAGCTTTTGTTTCAATTGGCTTTTTGTTGCGGTGTTTTTGGAATTAATATAATTCACAAGTCTCTTGGTTGGCTTTTAGTTACAGTAAAAATAATTATTGCTGTTACACACATGTATATATAAATTGTTCAAGCAATATATTTAATTCTTTCTTTTGGATTTTTGTAGCGATGTTGCGTGTAGCGAGGTTTTTTGGCGACTCCGAGTCTACTCTCCTCTAGCGGAGATTTTATATAAAATGGCAGCGCCGCAGCAAGAGCCCGCATGCGCAATGGGAGAGCCTCTCTCTCACACAACTCTCTCGCTCTCTCGCCGTCTCTCTCGTTCTCTTTGGCTTGACTGCTGTGTATCTGTCATTCACAGGCGGCACAGCTGTGTCTGTGCGTGTATGTATCTGCCTGCCGACGTCGTAACTATAAGCATTTGCCTTCGGCTCGCACTCGCACTCGAGCCGACTCTCTGTTTGTTTTGACGCGCGACTCGGACTCGAGTCGACTCTTGTGGCCGTGTTTTCCCATCAATTTACACGGTCTTCCAGCCACCCTACCATCCCTACTACCACTTTATCTACATATATATACATATATTTGATCATCTTTGTATTTGCCAAAATGTTTGACTGAATTTTTTGGACAAGCCCCAAACAGCAGCCGGTTTTTGTTTTATTTGAAAAAGAAAAAATAAAAATCCATATGTACGTGATGTTTTTTTTTGTTGTTTCTTCTTTTCTCAGACTTTTATTATTTTCAAGCTGCGACGCAAAAACTTTACGACACTATTGTTTATCACTCATCTCGCACACTCTCTCGCTCGCTCTTTTATTTTTTGGGGTAGGGGCTGGCTGGCGTTCTTATAGATACTTTTTCGCTTGCCACGCGGTGGTTTTCGATTGCTCTGTGGGGAAGGGTGAGTTTTTCTCACCTTTTGCGCATTGCATTTCCGTCCAGAATCGAGTAAACAGCAAAACAAGGGGGGGAAAAAAGGGGGCAACTCCAAAATGGTTTCGTATCCAATATCCAACCCTTTCAATTCTTTCCGCTTTTGGCATTGACAAAATAAATAAATTCAAGGGCTTCAGCGAAGAGAAGAGAAGGAAATGCGAGCAGCAGCAGCAGCAGCAGCAGAATATTTTGCAAAACAAATCGAAAAATTTAAAACAAAAACCCCACACGGAACATATCGATTTCACGCGCATGTTGAGGGAAGTCATTTTGAGTCAATCTATACCGTACAGATACAGATACAGATACTCGATCTATATATGTAGGAACAAAAGCCGGCACCCGGCAGACGTTTCATCAACAACAAATTGTTCAAAAATGAAACCGAAACAGAAAAAACATCCGCATTGAAAATCAAAAACGA